ACTATCATCTACTAGACATTAGTCGAAATCTCATGCTGTACTGAAACGACAAGAAATGAAAGCTATGAAATCAATAAGTTTATACAGGCTCATGATAAAGTTGTAGCAGTAAAGAAATCCCCAAAATCAGTAGCTCTGTAAGTGTTCGACATTGGACGCTGACCACACTAGTTTTATTGGACTCACCTAGCTGAAGGCACTCGGTCATGCATCCGCACCAGGTCACCAATGAGATTGATATGCTCAACGTCTCCTGCGATCACTAGCCAGTTTAGATCAGTCACTTCTCGATATTTCGATAACTAATCAAATATATCTTCGAACGTCCTCGCTTCTGACTTTTTCTTTCACTGGGTGGGTACGATTCAATTATAGAAGGTGTTGCTGGCTAAATTGTTGTCAAACTAGAATACCTGTGGCATCTACAATAATGCGTCCGACGTGATCTGGTACAACAACCCATAAATTGTAAATCTGTTCCTTTTTGGAACTTTGTAAATTATTGTTTTGCATTATTTTTTATATATTGTGATATTTTTCTCGTATTTTTGAGTATTTTTTCCTCGTTCATCCCTATAATTTAAATTCGCCAAGACAGTTCAAACTCCTAAGCTACTTAGGGTCAAGGCTCTTACACCACTCTCGTTTCAGCTAATGCCTTTTTGGCCGGACAATATCGAAGCTTGGTTCTGCTGCGCAGAGGCGGGCTTCTACGAGCACGGCGTGAACGACAAAAGTACACAATTTCTCGCGGTAGTAAGGGCACTACTGTGCGAATTCGACATATATTTATCACCTAGTACGTTTAATGGTGATGTTTCTGGATCCTCAGAAACACAGAAACGGTTTATTCTTAAAAGCGCAGATCTAACCGATTTATAAAGGCTGGACCAATTCCTTAATAATGTCGACCTACAACATAGTTCTGCGACAGATATGTTGCTAAGAATGAGAGAGGTTATCGAACAAATAAATTCCGATGATGGACTATTCAAACAACTTTGCTTATCCAAACTTCCACAGCAGTTGCAAGCTGTGCTGGTCTTGTTTCAAAAAAAGCCGTAGACGAGCTGGCTGCATCTGCTGACTGCATCCTAGAAATCACGAGATCTTCGAATGCCGAGGTTTTTTCAGTCAAAGAAAAACCTTAAACGACCCAGAATGATATTACGGAATTGTGTCACACGCTATCAAGTTATCTTGGATTTCGTAATGACCGTAAACATAGCTAAGAAGCACTTCACGTAGGCGATCTATCTCCAGACCACAAGAGACGGATAACTCCGACTGGTGCTGGTATCATAACCAGCATGGGAAGTCTTTCAGAAATGGCAGAAAAACTTGCAATTACCCGAACTCAAAATCGATGGACACAAAAAACAATTTGGGAAACTTACCAGCCGGCACGCATTAGCAGCAACTGTGGCCAGTGAACATAGCCGTCTATTATACTTCGCAGATGTGATTTCGAAAGTACACTACCTCGTATAATAGTGGCGCAGAAGTTAGCGTTATTCCTGCAAATTCTAACGAATCTGTTTTTGAACTTACAGTAGGCAAACTGTAAACTAATCGCCACATATGAAAAATAGTACGTTTACCTTAACGTGGGTCTACGCAAACCCATTCACTGGATCTTCGTTGTTGCAGATGTTTCTATACCAATGATTGGTATAGACTTGCTATAACACCACAATCTGCTCATCAATACGAGTAAACGGAGTCCAGTGGACGGAAACACTAAAGTATTTGTTTTCGTACTTCATTTTCCGGTTGCAGATTATCTCAAGTCACAATTTGGCACACAATAGACTCATTGTATCAGCCATTACTCGATAAGTACTGTGGGATATATCAACCGCGACCGAAGTTGCCGTGTGCAATCAGCAATGTTACACATCACATCACGACTACGGGATCACCTGTATCCTCAAAAGCACGCCGTCTAGCTCCCGAAAAGTTGAGGTTGACCAAAAACGAGTTCGACCACATGATAGAGCTAAGAATCATTCGACCGTGAACAACCCATGGGCATCTCCCTTGCATATGGTCCCTAAAAAGGACAGCAATGATTGGCGTCCAACTGTTGATTATCGGCGTCTGGATCCTAAAACCATTCCCGATCGTTACCCGTTGCCCCACATTCACGATTTGACAGCTACCTTGAAAGGTACGACCGTCTTTTCGAAAATCGACTTAGTTAAGGCTTACAAACAAATACCTATGGCAACTGACGACATTCCAAAACCGCCGTTATAACTCCTTTCGGCCTAAGAAATGCGACTCAAACCTTCCGAAGGTTCATAGATGACGTCTTCCGAGGACACAACTTCGTAGATACATATTTTGATGGCTGCTCGATAGCGATTCTGGACAGAGAATCCCATCTCCAGCATCCGGGAATTATGTTCGAACGACTGAAAGAGCATCGCATTACTGTAAACATTCAGAAATGCCAAATCGAGACGACTCCTTAGATTTCCTAGGATACACTAGGATCCAATCTCTTATAAGCAAAGAGGAGGCCACTCTGGATTACCGAAAAACAACCACCATTTGACAAGTGGGCACATTTAACGGCCCTGTAAGTTTCTATATACCGGTCATACCAAAATCTGCGTCCCTTATGAAACCGCTAACCGACCATCCGCATCAGATAACCAAACGAATTGCCTTACCAGTAAAAGAGATCAACTAAAATAGATCTCTACACCATAGTGGGTTATGGTTTGAACAGGAAATATGTTTCCATGATGATAATTTCAGTAAATAAAACTCAATAATGAGTCTTAAAAAATATCAGCTCCATTCTAATTATTGGACATTGCAGAGAGGTACGTTCAAAACAGTAACCAACATTACAGGATATGTCGGCTGTTGCAGCTCAAAGCGATGGGGTAGCCAAACTGCAACAGGCTCGCACAGCAGCTCTGGCGAAAATAGAGGAAGCTCGCAATCGTAATTGTTAACGTGAAATGTATACTTACATATAGGGAGGGCAAAACGACTCAAGGAAGCTAAAGGAGAAGCAAATTTGGAAGTCGATGCTTTCAAAGCACAACAGGAAGCTCATTATAATTCACTTGAGCTTCAAGTATGTTAGGAGTCCCTATTCATTTACAATCCGTAGGTTAACTCACAATATGGTCCCTACGAAGAATTGTGTCGTCAAATGACAGACGAACAGCTAAACTCAATGCAACGTTCGTTCCAGTCAAACAAAAATGCAGCTTTGCAGTTATTGTTGTCTAAAGTTTTAGATGTAAAGCCTGTCGTCCACGTCAACTTTGGTTTCAAGAGTCCAGGGTCGTAGTAGGTTTATGTTCTTTCAAAAGCAGAATTAGACCAAACCACTTACAAGCATAATATACCTTCAATTATGATTATGAATCTAATTATTTTAACCACTATAATAGACGTTAATTTGCTTTTCGTTTTTTTCATTAAACAGGCGGTGGTTGGAAAACGTCCAGACCCGCTGGTATTTGACCATTTACGTGTTTGCATATTCGCCTTTGAAACACATGAGTTAGAGTTAGTGATATTACTGGACTATGTATGTTAGAGTGAGGCATTTCAACCAGTTCTATGGTTTTCCCAGCATTAGTTTTGGTAGGTGATTAATGCACATAATCCTACACGGTACTGCACCGTGCTACCAAAATTAAAAGGCCTAAACACAACTACGAAATGTTCGCACTAGTTTCTGAGAAATATAGACAAAGACCGATAGGGTTTCTGATGTATGTGTTGATCTTCTTTCGCTCTCTCAAGGTTTCTGGCGAGTAATCATCTTTAGGTAGACTTTGCTTCTGACACTCATCCAGAAAAGTATCCGCATGGCCTTTAGCCCTTCGACGAGTTATGAAGTTTTATGAGCTATTCCTAATGGTCCACTAAATGCTAAACCACAAAGTCCCCGAAAATACGATGAGATGATATTCTTCGATGACTATCTAAGTGCAGTGTAATTAAGCTTAATGATCTTCACTACTCGTAAGCATCATTAATGACATGACGTAGCCACGAGTCCTACGATTTGCACACTAATTGATTAGGTTTTGAGTTACTTTGTGTTGGTTTTCTATGAACCTGACTGCTTGTAACTAGTAATTATCAGACTCATTCCGTAGTATTTTTCCGAATCCGTGGGGCTGATGAGGAAGATGTATGGTTCGTTTGTAGAGGTTAGTAAAAGCGTGGCCATTTGTTGACCGATAGGATGAAAGTCATTCCCATATTTGCAGTCACAGGTTGTGTATTACAGATCATGCGACTAACTTTGGTGTATCCAATAACCAAGTTCAGTAATAGTCTAACCGTTCATTTATTTCATCTCACTGGGATGTTAGTGCAGCAGGAATTGAAGATTCTTAAGTACGAGTCTCATTACTACGCATTGGTTTCAAACATTGCACTTGTCGGACGGTTACTCAGATTATAGATAGTTTCTCCTTTGGTTTTTGGAATCATCAAACGTTAGATGAATTCGCTAGTTATACCAGTCAGTAGAAATGCACATGGCGTCCGCGTGATACAACCCATATTTAGAAAGTCTAGTTCGGTTGTTTAGTCTCTTGAATGCTTTTATGACTTTCAAAACTCATTGGTTCACTCCATTACAGTGTCTTCCCCTCTTGGAATTCTTTGCTGTAGTCCAAGTGATAAGTGAAGAAATGAGTGTTATAAAGCGTTCCAACTCACTGACAAGGTATACCCACTATACAGAATCCTTCACTTCCGTGAAACCACTTTTTGAGTTGACAACAAGCAGAAGCCAAGTAAAAAAAACTAAGTTATTGTTAATGATATAAAAGTAGTACCTTTTACTATGCTTGGAAGTAAATCATGAAAATGCTGATGACACTACATTGATTGCGCCTCGGTTCAGGCCTTACTTGATGTATATTCTAGAAGCAGGAATCTACGTGCACAACGTAGTTTATCCATTGTACACAAATGCCTTGACTACTCGGAAAACAATGCTAAATTATGTCGTCAAAAATATAAGTGGGAGAATTTACAAGTTATATTTGCACCAACTACCATATACGATTATTTAGTATATCTCCCGAAGTCCTCAGTTTTTAGTTTACTAGCATTCGTTAAGTACCAACGTCTGGATCAAATATTAGGAGTTCAAGCTCATTACCGATACCGCACTACTTTGTTTTCAATTCTAGAGTAACTTGAAACTAATAACCTGATACAGAGTCTAGTACGAGTGCCCTTCCTGCAACTCTCGATGATGTAACTCGGACTCAACGACCCGTTTACATCTTCTATTATTTATGATAAATATCAGATGTGTTCGCAAATTATCTTGGAATCCTTTGGTACCCGACGATTGTGTTTTTGCCAAATAAAATCAGTAATACAATTGTTTGAACATAACTTGATGACGATTATCCGTCTTTCTAAAATGGAGCTTATGTCAAAGTTAAATAAAGCATAAAATCTTAAAGAAATATTTTCGTTATTCTCCCAAGATGTATATAAGCTAAAAATCACACTAAGCATGAGAAATGCACCTGAAATTGTGTATTAACTTGATGTCTCAATTACAAGTAATTACATCAAGTAAAATAATAGCAAGTTTCTTTGAAGCACATGCCAAAAGAATCATATTTCAACTAAATGTAATGATAAAAATTCTGTGCGAATTTCGTACGGGACTGATAATCTCTTGCACAAGATGGATAAAGTGAATCAGCAAATTGCTGGAAACGTCGATTATAAATATCCTATATCTTAAGCATTTAATAAAATATCTGCATGACTGAAATAAGACAGTTCCTATGTAGTTTGGTGACTATAGATTTTGGGTTTCAGGATGAGATGATAAAGGGTTTGTGATAATCGAAGTAGTCGATTATAAAGTCAGTCTTAATGTACCACACAAAATCCATTTTTCACAAACTGCAGTGATGAGCGTTCCCGGGAAATAAAACATGTACACAAATCTAGTTATATCTGTAATGACAAAATAAAACACCGACGATAATTCCCTATTAAAATATTTGTTGTTGAAAATCTAGGTGACTGAATATAAACACCGGTGTCATGAGTACCAACACGTCTTGACCTGTGCCATGCAATGTTTAATTAGAAATGGACAACGGCAATAGGATTCCAGGCACTGATGATACTTATCCCGACAATATAAAGTTCATCTTGGAACCGCTAATACAGAAGACATAAATAACAATACATCCTGATATCGTTTCTCAAAAGTACTCCACGTAACCGTAAAATAGGTAGGAAAGAAAACACTTTGGAAGTAGAATACATCACATGATTTATCATACATCTGAGATGCTGAATTATATAATGCATAAGATCTAATGATGTCTGCTTTTGATAAGTTTTTAAAAACACATTGTTTATCAGTCGAAGCATCTGAATCGCACTCATCTTCGCTATATATTTCCGAGTGACCCGTATCAGTCTCTTCAACTGGTGATAGCGTATGATTGCTATGCTGTCCACGATGGCTGATGCCGTTTGCAATAAACGTTGATTTTATTCCAAATCGCTGATCATCCCATCCACGTAAACGTTCGTAAAATAACAAATAAGCAGGACTTGATTCCACGTGTTTGAACGGCACACGTATTACATGAGCATCGGAAGTCAGTATCCATGGCGAATTATAAGCTTCAGGTGTATTTGATATTCCTTGAAAATAGTTTGAAACGTATTGACACAAACTTGACAAAATATGAACTAGCCAATACGACCTTTTTTGCACATGCAACATAGGTGTGTGCCATTTACGATACGTTATATAATGTCCACACTGATGAAATGCTCCTTCATGAACAATAACTGAACGGAGTACGTATGGTTTCGGACAACTGTAATATAGAGCAAAAGTGGTAGTAAAGGATAATATAGTTTGCTAAAAATCAGTGAGAAAACATAAATATCGTTTAAAAATCCCAATCATATTAAAAGACTAATATTTGAACGAAGAATATTCTTTTCGATAAATTCTCTTCAGGTTCTACAATTATATATCCAAATTAATAATCCGAAAAAAATGGTCAGGTTAAAGGCAAAGTACATCGTTTAATGCATGTAAATTTAGGAATGTCAAATCAAATAGAATAAAATTGTTAATGTTGATATGACCCATATAGAATGTTAACTTGAATTTTCACTTTACGTATATACAGATTCAAGTTAACATTCTATATGAGTCATATCAACATTAACAATTTTATTCTATTTGATTTGACATTCCTAAATTTACATGCATTAAACGATGTACTTTGCCTTTAACCTGACCGTTTTTTCGGATTATTAATTTGGATATATAGTTGTAGAACCTGAAGAGAATTTATCGAAAAGAATATTCTTCGTTCAAATATTAGTCTTTTAAACATAGATATATTAACTATAATCCAATAAATCGAACTATTGACTCGTGAGTTAACTCCGCCTGTAGCTCCTCTGGGGGTTACTGCCAGTCCCAAGCCCGGGTAAAGGAGGAGGGTTGGCCATGGGGTTAGCGACCCCATCCCGTAGAAAATCAACTCGCTGAAAATAAACTGGTCATAGGGGGCACCATATTCCCACACAAAAACATACACAAAGCCACTTGGATTTCACCGGATCACACTACACACAATCAAACCGACCATATCTGCATCAACAAAAAGTTCAGGAGGACGATGGAGGATGTGAGAACCAGAAGAGGAGCTGATATAGCATCCGATCATCATTTGCTGGTCGCCAAGATGAAACTAAAACTTAAGAAGCAGTGGACATCGGGGCGGACAACATCACAAAAGTTTAATACGGCCTTTCTTCGAGATGCTGACAAACTCAACAAATTCAACATAGCCCTCAGCAACAGGTTCCAGGCCTTTCATGATCTACTCAATGGACAGGGAACGACCATGGAGAGCAACTGGAAAGGTATCAAGGAGGCAATCATTTCAACATGTCAGGAGGTTCTGGGCCAAAAGAAGCGCCATCACAAGGAATGGATCACTGTTGATACACTGGATAAAATTGAAGAAAGGAGGAACAAGAAGGCAGCAATCAATATCAGCCGAACAAGAGCGGAAAAAGCCAAGGCACAAGCCGAATACACAGAAGCAAACAAGCAAGTGAAGAGGAGCATCAGAACCGACAAACGTAAATATGTGGAAGATTTAGCAACGACAGCGGAAAAGGCTGCAAGAGAGGGAAACATGAGACAACTGTATGATACAACAAAGAAACTTGCTGGAAATTACCGTAAGCCAGAAAGACCAGTGGAAAGCAAGGAAGGCAAAGTAATCACCGACATTGAAGAACAACGAAACAGGTGGGTAGAACACTTCAAAGAACTCTTGAATCGACCAGCTCCACTGAACCCACCCAACATCGAAGCAGCACCCAGACCTCCCAATCGATGTTGGCCCACCAACAATTGAAGAGATCAGCATGGCCATTGGACAAGTCAAGAGTGGCAAAGCGGCGGGACCAGAAACATCCCGGTAGAGGACTGAAAGCAAATGTAGCAGCAATACAATACAATATGCACCAATCAAATTACACTTGACGGAGAAGCTTTGGAGGATGTGGAAACCTCTACATATCTAGACAGCATCATTGATGAACACGGTGGATCAGATGCAGATGTGAGGGCGAGGATCGGAAAAACAAGAGCAGCATACTTACAACTGAAGAACATCTGGAGCTCAAAACAATTGTCAACCAACACCAAGGTCAGAATTTTCAGTACAAATGTCAAGACAGTCCTACTGTATGGGGCGGAGACGTGGAGGAGTACGAAGGCCATCATCCAGAAGATACAAGTGTTCATCAACAGCTGTCTACGCAAAATACTTCGGATCCGATGGCCATACACTATCAGCAACCAGTTACTGTGGGAGACAACAAACCAGATTCCAGCGGAGGAAGAAATCAGGAAGAAGCGCTGGAAGTGGATTGGGCACACTTTGAGGAAGTCAACCAATTGTGTCACATGACAAGCCCTCACATGGAATCCTGAAGGTCAAAGGAGAAGAGGAAGATCAAAGAACACATTACGCCGAGAAATAGAGACAGATATGAGAAGAATGAACAAGAACTGGATAGAACTAGAAAAGAAGGCCCAGGACAGAGTGGGTTGGAGAAAGCTGGTCGGCGGCCTATGCTCCATTGGGAGTAACACGTATAAGTAAGTAGGTAAGTAATTAACTTGTGAGTTGGCTTAAGGAGTAAGTACAACTTTTGATGATTTATTCACGTTATCTGAAGAAATAAAACTTATCAAAACAAATAGTATAAATGGCAACATATAGAATAATAATACGTCACTTTTCTTCGTTGTCAACAGTGCTCAGGAACTTGGACAATTGCCAAATCCTAACCTTGTAAATCTTTGGCTGTCAGCGGTTTACGAGATCTAGTAATAAAGCTCCCAAATATTAATTGTAACGAGTAAATTCATGAAATTACTTGACTTCACACAATTTTTACACTTGATAGAATTGATTAAAGAAATACATAGTTTAAAACAGGGTAAAAATAACCCATGCATAAGCTTCGAGTAGACGAAAATTTGTACTAATTATCCCGTGGTTCAAAGGCTGTATTTTCATTTGTCGGACCACAGGCTTAAGTTGGTTCTGAGAGCGTCTTTATCCCATATACTAAGTGAAACTCACCCTGGTATACGAAAGAAATAATATAACTGAGTCTCACTTGAGTATCGTCTTTATTGTACCGGGTTCTTTTGTTTAAATAAGTAATCGATAACTCCATAAAGTGATTTTCACATGGTTATATGAACTATCTATAGTATAAAAATTAACAAAATTACCCAAGTTCCATACAATAAATTAACTGGACTGCACTCCATTCTGTCACTCAAGAGTTGTCATTCATATCTCCTAAGTTATGAATTATAACTGTCCTTGAACTACTAAAACAAATGAATTGATACTTTGTATTGTCAGAACAAATGACAAATTTAACATTTCTGATAAGTTGAAAAGGGGGGAAAATTATATATTCTACTTCAAAAATAAATGACAAGACAAATAATTCGCTGAAAACCTACTCTCTTTCTAATAATTCTGAAGTACCGGAAAGTAAACCTTCAGAATTTTTGTCATGATATGGATTTACAGCCTGAGATAAAGCCTCAGTCTTTGAAATTTTACATGGTAACAAATAAGGCGCCATATCTAAAAACTCCGGAATATGTACATGTTCAGAACGCTTTGTAGCAATTCTGGTAGTTGAAAAAGGATTTCCACCAAACTGGCGAATATTATTAGATTCAGTAGATAAGCTAGCTATGTTTAACCAATCACTTCTTTGTATGTACAAAACTAGGTATTTAGGAGTGTGTGTTATCCATTGTTCGCGTTGACAATAATTTAATGAACGGGATTTTGATGTCGAAGTTTTCTGACATTTAGGGCACTTCATATCAGGTATAGGTTCGACAGTTGCCAACTGAGCATCAAGACATTCAATAAGATCTATCACTTCTGGAGACGTTTTGACATGTGAATGTTTTAAGCCTTTCACATCTGTCTTTACAGTGCCGGGATTCCCTGGTAAATAATGAAAGCAAAGAATAAAACTAAATTCGGATGAAATTATATATATATATATATATATATATATATATATATATATATATATATATAAAGTTTGCAGAAATTTATAATAAAAACCCGTTAGAAAGCCTATATTGAGACGTATGAGGCAATGCATCACTATCGAGAGAGAGATCAGAGTAAACTTATAAAATTCTTGTATTTAGTAATATTCCAAGCTGAAACAATTTGCTGAACCCAACATATTGCGTATAGCGATAGAACAACCACGAATTAAGAACTGCAAAATCAAGGACGAAAACAAAATTGGATATAAGTGACTTGATAAGGCGCCGAGACTATCGCAAAAAAAATGATTAGGTCCCTTATTATCCGCCTGATTTGTGCGATGAGTCGCAAGCTGAACGGATGAATTTTTAGATACAGCAAAATTAATAACCTAGTTGTACTCACGTTAGACAACTAGTTTTCTCATGAGGATGAGTCACAGTAAACCGCCTAACACTTTCCTCAGATATTTATAATGAACGAAATGAAAACGTTTATTTTAAATCCAAAATGACAACAGTAAAAACAAACATCTGCGTAAAAGGAAACGGAATAAAATCTGAAAAATTAGTATAAGGTAGTAAGTGATTTAAAATATTTAGTATTATTATTTACGATCTCTTAAACAAAAGTAATCATCATGGTAAAGAAAACAAGTATTTCTGAGTATGAATAAAATACAAATACCATGATTACTATGAATAACAATAAGAAACTGAAAGTTTTTCAGTTAACCAGTAATTATAAAATCTTATTAAAAGAGGGTTAAGTAACCTTATGTTACGTAAATATCTATAGGAATGGTTGGATGATAATGTGAATCATAAACACTATCCCTGAATGAAGGAACGGCAAATTTCTAAAAACAGTTAATTGATAACATAAAAAGTGATAAATGAATGTATCGGTGAATGATTTTTGTACGAAACAACATGAATTGCAAAATTGATTGTCATGACAATGAACTCATCTAAGACATGAAGCACAAAATACACAATGTACTTTCTATTTGTCCATAGGAAAGTTGACGCACAAAAATGCAATACGACGAAAACTATATTCACATCCATAAAGTCTCATGTGACTCGAACTAATATAAAAGCGTTCGAGTTATCCCATTGTTGGTATTCAGGATTAAACTTCAACAAGCTTTTGTTTGTATGTATACGTATCAACGTGATAATTCAAACGCTGACCAATAATGTTCATACATTATACTTGTTAAACAAGTTAACAGTTAGTTGAACTCAGTAGTGCAGTGAATAATGCATTGACGTTTGAAGGGGAAAGTACAACGTCCGAATCCCAACGTGAAGATCAACACGAAAATTAACGGCACGTAAAAAACTATCTAACCAAGAATATAGGATTTTCATACATGTTGGCATATAGGTTACCTATCAATTCAATCCACTAAACAATGGGAAGCAACAGACTTTAAGTAAAGTAAATGCGTTTTGCACTAGAAGAAACAATTGAAACTCTGTAGGTTAAATGGGCAAAATGCTAAGCACAAACTTTAAAACACACTAAGATCCATGTAGGCTTGATTAAAGGTTTCCGAAACAGAACGAACCAAATAATCTTAGATTACATAAAAAATCAATACTTCACATTCGATGAAGACTACAAGTGGTATTTATACTAACTAATGATTCCTTTGTACTTGATTGAGCGCTGATTACGGATCCCAAATATAATACGTTCATTTGTGTTTATCTACTTCAACCGACCTTGAATAGCACTATTTCGGAAATTCTTAGCTAACACATCAATCTGAATTCTTTTAACCATCATACTATATCAGCACATATGAACGATAAACTGGAACACCATACAAATTTAAATACATTTAGTAACAAAACTACACCATTAAGATACAAAAATTATAAAAGAACGACCTCATCTATAATACTGAACTGAGAAATGAAATGTGTCGCCAACAAAATTAGACATATATTATGTAATGATCTGAATTACAAGCAGGTTTTTATTGGAGTACGAATACTAATAGGCTTACAGAGTAGTTTAACACAATGATCTTGTTAACCACAAACACTAGTGTACCTTACTGAGCATTTCTTCGTCACCCCATTTTATTCTTAGATCTTTTTTAACTACTCTAGCTTAACTAACGGATAATCGCAATAAAAATTCATTTCTTGAAATTCATGAAAGTAAATTACTTTGGATTTATAATTTGTAGTTACAAAAATGAATTAATAGAAATTTTCGAGTAATACCATAATGGTTTATGGAGTATGATCTGGGTTATATCTATATGTTAGTGATCATATTCCGTGTGTAATTGAACTCAAAATAATTACATTTACATAATTTATTTTAAAAATCCTCATTATTAGTGTTAATCCTAATCGTACCACTTATATGGTTATTAAATATTTCACACAAATATAGACTATAGATCGACAGTGATTATGCGCTCATTTACATAGACAGAAATCATTAATCTCAAGAAACATTGACATCCTGAATATTATGTACACATTATCTTAATAAGAAGATTGAAAAGAATCTCTAATTTATATATATTTAAATAAAGTGAAGTCAACTAATGATCATATCAAAGCAGTGTATTTTGATTTTCTTAAGTAACAGATCCATCAGGTATTTGGGTATGATCTAAACTCTATATGACATTATCCAGCATTCCAAACAGAAACAGATGGAGCATGGTTCGAATTAGAGTTACAGGTTGAAAATCGAATGCCTTAACCACTAAGCCGTCAAATTAGCTACTGATACTGTGTTTACAAGTGAAGATTAACTTACTTAAAAATATAGTTAAGCAAGCTTCCGGTTGAATGACCACTTTACTATGATAGTTGCAATAATTACATGTTACCCGACTACTCACCAGAATTTGTTCAAACACATGAGTAGGAAATGCATCGCATAAAACTGCACGAAACTTTACACTTTCAATAGCGGAACAATGAGATCGACAGACAACTATCTTTGAAAATAAAATAAAAAGGAATATTTGTGAAATCATGACAAAAAATAACTGCGATTTGATGCTGAATATAATAATTAAAATAAATAAAATTACAAGTATAGGATTGTGGAGAGTGTTGAACTTTATTGAGATCACAAACCGATAAATCCTAGACTACCTGGGCCCGACTCCCGTGTGTGGGATCGTTCATGAGCATTGCTGACGAGTCCCATACTAGGATAAAACGACCAACAACTCCTCCCAGGTTTTCAGTGCTGGTCTAACAGTGATCGGTTCATGATCTCAATAAATAAATAAAGTTATATCGGAGCAAGATTAGCAACTACGTTTTTCTGGTCAAAATGAAACACCACTGAACTGAATAGTTTAAAATTTTCTAGCTGAACTGCAACCATTAACTAGGTTTTCCATCGATATAAAAAATTATTTACGTACTTTTTAAAAAAAAACAATAATTTTGTACACTTACTCGTCTATGATGCGGAAGATTAAAATTAAACAGATTACTTATTTTTCTAGCATATGTTTTGCTGGAAAAATCATCATCTTGACTACAAGCACGTTCCATGATAAAGCCAAATAACTCATGAGCATCCTAAAATTGGAACACAAAGAAAATATGATATTTTATTCATCTAATATATGGTTACAGTCAGCTTGTTAAGAGTTAAGTGTTAACGTCTCATTTGAATACAACGATATTTTCCTTAATCGTACTTTGATTTTCACCATATATCTTCACGTTGATGTCTGTACTATAAAGTACTAATTCATTAAAATAATCGCTTCCCTTATTCTTTAATCTAGCTCTTATACGAAATCTGTTTGTGAGTCAACACTAAAAACCAAACATATCCAAACTATCTCCCTTCACAAAGCGTTTGCACTGAATAATTAGTCACAACGTAATGTAGAACCTCGTAAATATCTGTGTCGGTTTCATTTGCTAAAACAAATAAACACAACAAGATATAAGAGTTGTAACAGTAGTAACAGTATTATTGGTAGTAGAAAATATCAGACATAAAAGATATGACTGGATAAAAAATAAGGATTCATGGAATCAGCAGAAAAACACGAAAATTAAGAAACATAGAATCTAATAAAAGATAAAGAGTGAAGTCAACCAAAATTTCTGAATCCGCTCCAAAATTTAGTCAAATAAAAGTAAAAGTAACCAAACAAACAAATGTATCTGGTTAATAATTTATTAGACATGTGTTGTTTGCACTGAATTAGTTCAGCCATCTCATCCATAAATGAATCATATGAGAGAAAGTGACAGGTTTAACTTAAATATCGATAAAATCCTGACTTTATTGGTATACATGAGAACGAGTGCTTTACACAAGTTAATAAAATCAATGAAAATATAAATATTCCAGTGAGTAGCAAAACAAACTGTACCACTCAAATGATAGTTTAACTACTTAGACCTAAACACAAACACAATTGTAGCACTGACTAGTATTTTCTAAATAAAATACTGTTTTATTCAGCTACAACCGACAGCATACTTTTAAAAGCAAACAAAAATGACAGGTTAGCGACTAAAATGACCAGTTCTTGTGGCAGAAACTGAAATTTTGCATCCTACGGTAACCAAAAAATGCAGTCAACTTAATCACCGAGACCGATTGCAGATAAGACTTTTTGCTCCGACAGATGAAGTTACAAATAAAGAATGAGAAAACAACTAAGTATTAGATTACAGCTTGTGTTAAAATTACTAGTATAAAAGTCCAATAGACTTATTTTCCTTTCTTATATCACTGTGTATATCTCTATAAATACTTGTTCCCACAGATACGATGGTTTATGATTTCATGAGCTATACACCAAAAGCTATAATGATCCTTTTTCTACATTACTTCATTTAAATAGGAAAAACATCTATGTTCTACAGGGTTACTTCAACCTTCTTTCGTCAGAGAATTATTTTATTTATTTATTTAATCACATACATATTGGTACAAAGGGCACCGGATACATATGCGCCACACAGAAAATTAAGCGTTGTTCTAAGAGCATGACTACTGAATGGTTATGGAAGTGACTGTTGTTTTTAGCAAAATTCGTTTAGCACAACAAGATTATCAGTATTATTTGTACAAAACGTGACGGTTTAGTAGTCACTCATCTTCTCCTTTTCCAAGAAAAAAACTAACACAAAGCAGAGTCATCTAAAATTGAATTTTTAAAAAAATCTGTGGTTCGAAGACCTAAAGGTCCACAAAATTGGATTCGGCTTTCCTGAACCAATCACTTACGAGCTCAATACCTCAGGAACGAAATCTATGACTACGATGTCTAATGATGCTTGTTCAACACTAACATACACATATTTAGTAACTGATAAAAAAGTATGGAAGTCTTTTCATGATACTTACTTACTTACTTACGCCTGTTACTCCCAATGGAGCATAGGCCACCGACCAGCTTTCTCCAACCCACTCTGTCCTGGGCTTCCTTTTCTAGTTCTACCCAGTTCTTGTTCATTATTCTCATGTCTGTCTCAATTTTTCGGCGTAATGTGTTCTTTGGTCTCCCTCTTCTCCTTTGACCTTCAGGATTCCATGTGAGGGCTTGTCTTGTGACGCAATCAGGTGATTTCCTCAAGATGTGCCCAATCCACTTCCAGCGCTTCTTCCTGATTTCTTCCTCTGCTGGAATCTGGTTTGTTCTCTCCCACAGTAACTTGTTGCTGATAGTGTCTGGCCATCGGATCCGAAGTATTTTGCGTAGACAGCTGTTAATAAACATTTGTATCTTCTGGATAATGCCTTTCGTAGTTCTCCACGTCTCCGCCCCATACAGTAGGACTGTCTTGACATTTGTATTGAAAATTCTAACCTTGATGTTGGTTGACAATTGTTTTGAGTTCCAGATGTTTTTCAGTTGTAAATATGCTGATCTTGCTTTGCCGATCCGCGCCCTCACATCTGCATCTGATCCACCGTGTTCATCAATGATGCTGCCCAGATATGTAAAGGTTTCTACATCCTCCAAAGCTTCTCCGTCAAGTGTAATTTGATTGGTGCATATTGTATTGTATCGGAGAGTTTTGCTTTTCGCTTTGTTTATATTGAGACCTACTGCTGCTGAGGCTGCTGCTACACTGGTCGTTTTCTCCTGCATTTGTTGTTGAGTTTGTGATAGAAGAGCCAGATCATCTGCGAAGTCTAAATCGTCAAGTTGCATCCTGCCTGTCCACTGTATCCCGTGATTTCCTCCAGATGTTGACGTCCTCATGATCCAGTCGATGACTAGGAGAAAGAGAAAGGGTGAGAGTAAGCAACCTTGCCTAACACCAGTCTTTACTTTAAACGACTCGGTGAGTTGTCCTCCGTGGACGATTTGACAGTTTAGTCCATCATAGGAGTTCCGTATGATATTTACTATCTTCTCAGGCACGCCGTAGTGTCGAAGAAGCTTCCATAGTGTCGTCCTGTCCACGCTATCAAATGCCTTCTCGTAGTCGATGAAGTTGATGTACAGTGATGCATTCCATTCGATCGATTGTTCCACAATGATCCGCAGAGTTGCGATTTGATCTGTGCACGATCTATCCTTACGAAATCCAGCTTGTTGATCTCGAAGTTGTGCGTCCACGGAATCCTTCATCCTGTTTAACAATACTCGGTTGAAGACTTTTCCTGGTATTGAGAGAAGAGTGATGCCCCTGTAGTTGTTGCACTTGCTAAGATCACCTTTCTTTGGTATTTTGATCAGAAGTCCTTTTTTCCAGTCTGTTGGTACTTGTTCTTCGTCCCAAATCTTACTAAAGAGGATGTGGAGTATCTTGGCAGTTGCTGTTACATTTGCTTTCAGTGCCTCTGCCGGGATGTTTCTGGTCCCGCTGCTTTGCCACTCTTGACTTGTCTAATGGCCATGCTGATCTCTTCAATTGTTGGTGGGCCAACATCGATTGGAAGGTCTGTGGGTGCTGCTTCGATGTTGGGTGGGTTCAGTGGAGCTGGTCGATTCAAGAGTTCTTTGAAGTGTTCTACCCACCTGTTTCGTCGTTCTTCAATGTCGGTGATTACTTTGCCTTCCTTGCTTTCCACTGGTCTTTCTGGCTTACGGTAATTTCCAGCAAGTTTCTTTGTTGTATCATACAGTTGTCTCATGTTTCCCTCTCTTGCAGCCTTTTCCGCTGTCGTTGCTAAATCTTCCACATATTTACGTTTGTCGGTTCTGAAGCTCCTCTTCACCTGCTTGTTTGCCTCTGTGTATTCGGCTTGTGCCTTGGCTTTTTCCGCTCTTGTTCGGCTGATATTGATTGCTGCCTTCTTGTTCCTCCTTTCTTCAATTTTATCCAGTGTACCAACAGTGATCCATTCCTTGTGATGGTGCTTCTTTTGGCCCAGAATCTCTTGACATGTTGAAACGATTGCCTCCTTGATACCTTTCCAGTTGTTCTCCATGGTAGTCCCCTCTCCATTGAGTAGATCATAAAAGGCCTGGAACCTGTTGCTGAGGGCTATGTTGAATTTGTTGAGTTTGTCAGCATCTCGAAGAAAGGCCGTATTAAACTTTTGTGATGTTGTCCGCACCGTTGTCCAGTGCTTCTTGAGTTTTAGTTTCATCTTGGCGACCAGCAAATGATGATCGGATGCTATATCAGCTCCTCTTCTGGTTCTCACATCCTCCATCGTCCTCCTGAACTTTTTGTCGATGCAGATATGGTCGATTTGATTCTGTGTAATGTGATCCGGTGAAATCCAAGTGGCTTTGTGTATGTTTTTGTGTGGGAATATGGTGCCACCTATGACCAGTTTATTGAAGGCACATAGGTTTGCAAATCTCTCACCATTTTTGTTCCTTTCTCCCAGTCCATGTTGTCCCATGACGTCTTCGTATTCAGCGTTGTCCATTCCAACCTTAGCATTGAGATCTCCCATCAGAATTATCAGGTCCTTGGTTGGGCACTTCTCGACTGCAGCCTATCGTAGAATTGGTCTTTAGCGTCTTCATCGTAGTCATTGGTAGGCGCATAGCATTGGATGACGTTCATTGTAATGCCCTCTCTCTTTGTTTTGAAGGAGGCTTTGACGATCCTTGGTCCATGAGGTTCCCATCCAATAAGTGCATTTTGTGCTTTTCTGGACAGCATCAATGCAACTCCTTGTGTATGTGGGGCATTTTCTTCTTCATGACCGGAGTATAACAGAAGTTCTCCTGAAGACAGACGTTGTTGTCCGACCTGCGTCCAATGTGTTTCGCTGATTCCAAGAACCTCCAGGTTGTATTTTCTCATTTCTGCAGCAATTTGGAAGACTCTTCCGGTCTGCCACATTGTTCGGACATTTCATGTACATATAAAAATTGTCGCTCTGGTTGTAAGAAGGTGCATCGGCCTCATGACTTCCGAAGGAACTCGGCTTTCATCATGAGACGTCATTATTCCTTCTACTCCCAGGGCAGAGTTTGAATGGTTTGAATGATTTTTTCTGGTTAGCGTTTTTTTAGCGAGTTGATTTTCTACGGGATGGGGTCGCTAACCCCATGCCCAACCCTCCTCCTTTACCCGGGCTTGGGACCGGCAGTAACCCCCAGAGGAGCTACAGGCGGAGTTTTTCATGATAACATTTAACAAATTCAGAACAAAATGAAGCGTAGAAAGATTTTGACTTCACTTAGCGACTACATGATGAATTTTAGTTGATCGTATTTAGACAAATCATGAGAACGATTACTAATTAATGCGGTAACAAAAAATAGTGCCCAGAATAATGAATTTATGGATTAAATGAAAATTATCAAACATGAAGTAAATGTATTAAAACTAAGACAAATGTAACATGAAAAAGGGTAACACAATGACTAACCTGTTGTTCATGAATAACCCAATTTTGTGTATTCACTATTTCGTTAATTAACGCTTCATGATTCTTCTTTAGTAAACTACCCAATCTATTCTCTGCAATATATTGAGAAGAACATTGCAGACCTAGAAAATAAAAACTTTAATTGCAAATTTATAGCTTAGCGAAATTGGTTAACGGATAAAAATATGACTCAACGATATTCAGATTCCGCTAAAAACTAACATTTCGTATTGTTGATAGTCAAAGTAAAATTTTGTGTCGTCAATGGTACCGCCTCACTGTATGTTAATTACACTTAAATTTGATCGCCCCAGCTTCGAATACAGACAGCTTATCTCCACATTAGCCCTAGCTAATTCATAACATATATCTTGTTCAAGAAATGTATCGGAGGGACTAAAGAAGATTGAACTAAGAGAACAGCTTCTTCATATAAATGTGACAATAGCCTTAACAGTAGAACAAAAACTAGAATCTATAAGTCGCGAATAAATAAAAGAAGTGAGCTTTTGATCCTGTTGAGAATAAAGAGATTGGAGGATGATAAAGGAAAATTTAAAATTTTCATAAGTAAAATGATAAAGTGATAACTGACATAAATTGCGTTCATTATTTAATTATCTTCAAGAAAATATTGTTTGTACAGTTTACTAGACTTCAATCACTCAGACTTTTCACAACCTGCAGAGATTTAAACAGGGATTCGCGAAAATAAACGTCTCCTCATGAAGTATATGCAGGCTCATAGTGTCATAGTTTACACTCTAGTTTACCTTAATACAAACTTAGGAATTGTTTGGTTGATGCAACAAGCCAACAAGAAACTGCACTGGTCAAACAAAAATGCTCATAGTTCATATTCTCCATGCGTACATAAAATGAAAAGAATATATCCATCACGAGCTTTAATTGCTATTTTGTTGAAAAGATTATCTTCGGATATATCTTATTACAATTCTCACAATCTTGACGTGGCGAGCCATAATTACTGACGAAATCGTTACCAACTTAATCAACCACATATTTATTGACTTCAATAAGGATATGATATCTTAAGAAAACATAATCAGTTTCGTCTTTTAAAACTCTTAATCACTGATTTCTTAATACATCAAACACAAATGACTGGAATCCAAATAGTCAGAATGAGAACGAAATTGGACACTCACCTTTCAATAAACATAACAATCTATACATGAATTTGTCCGGTCGATGGTAGACACTGCGTTCCAGGAGACGGATAAGACTTGGATTCGCTGCCATTGCTTGCATCAATGCATTAAAATAACATACATTTCTAGGATTTGGAAGCCCAACTGGCAGGTCTGAGAAGTTTTCTACAAAGTATCATCAATCAAATTGAATTTAAAGACATAGAAAATCGGTGGCTTCTAGAATAATATGAAGCTTAAGTCTTTGTATTTACAGTAGCCACGAAACTTTACATATTGGCTATCATTTTAGTATATAGTAATAAAATCATGGTCACATCCCGGTTCATTGTAACCCCCTAAGTCCGATCTATCCGCATATTACTATATCACGAAGCTTAAATGCAAACAAATCAGAAAGAAGCTAAACATAATACAGTTATGTATTAATTCAAGTTGTCATACTACAGAATGTTACAGCAATGTTAGTTGATTGAGAGAAAATGGACTAACTTTAAAATATAAATAGCAGCAAATAAATAGAAAAGTATAAAAATTAAAGGACAGAGAGCACATGATGATAATATACCCTTGATACAGGCGAAGATAATTGGTGAACGTATCTACACCATTGCAGATCACTTTACCTGAGGGTCAAAGAGAAAAATAGGGTGTTCCTTACGTCGATTAAATCAATGAACTGTGACTTTAAAAACTAAGACCACGTTTTGGTCCAGACATGACTTTTTCCATGTTTAAGTTTATCAGATTGATAACGACGTGAAATGTATTTCGCAAAGCAAAAATTGATTTGCTGTGCTCGTTTACTAATATTTCTTTAAAATATGAACAGAATACTCATTAAATTTACTACTCACACCTGTTATCAAATACCAATGACCTTAAAGTAGTTTCTAGTAGCGATGTATATATGATGTAGAGAGAACTTATACACATGATTTCCCACTGGTAAACAGATAGACGCCCTGACTATACGAACTTTCAGAGAATAGATAAAAGTATAACTGTTTAATCACTGAGTGTACCCTTTGTACTAAATTCACTGTTAAAGATTGAATATATCAGAGTGTGAAAAAACCACACCAAATGGTCAACAAATTTAAAATCAATCACTTAAAACATCAAAAATTTAGATAATAAGGTGTATATTCAACGAAAGATCAAGCTCTTACGGCAATATACTTTCTCGTTTGCTCGTCGATATAACAAGAATATAGCACCAGAAACTACAGCACCTCCAATAATCACCACTAGAGAATCACAAACTCGTTTGGCTGGATTATATTATATTTCGGATACACGCATACCTGAAAAACCAGTAAATTCCATACTCAACCAGTCCGTACTGAGGACTCTCGAATAGTTGCCATTTCAATGCAAGTACAACGGCCAGCTTCGGATGACCTTCATCTGGTTTGGACAATATTTTGAAGCGTTTTTTCAGCCTGATAAAAGGGAGAATAAGCAAAAACCGGCGGAGAACATCATACGCATACACGGAATATTATAACCCCTTGATAACAACTAAATATAGTTCAAGTGGTTTCAAATTGTTCTGAACAGAATAGAAATTTTCGCTAAACAGGCTTCCGTAACTAGTAGCAGTGGATCAACGATGCTTCCAGGCAGAAACCTAGGTATAGTTAACGACAGAAAAGAAAAAAATATTAGTAAACCATAGTGAGATGCTTCTCCTTGTCCTGAAAAAATATGTTCAGTTTCTAGGTATTGTAGCTGTAAATAATTCCCCAAAATCAATAGTTCATTAAGTGTTCGACATTGGATGCTGACCACGTTGTTTAAGTGGACTTGTTTAGCTGAAGGCTTTCGGTCATGCATCCGCACCAGATCACGTTTCAACTCGGCGTGGGACACAGCTCCTACGTTTCATTAGCCAGCTCATAGAAAAGGTCCTCGATATATTGGTAACGAATCAAATATATCTTTCCTGCCTCTTCTCGTCTGACTTCTGATTTCTATCTGACTGGGAACGATCAAATATAGAAGGTGCTACTGGTAGCTAGTTGTAAAACTAGAACATCCGTTGCATCATCATTGGTGAACCCGACGTGATCTGGTACACCAAGTCAATATACTGTGAGTCTGTTCCATTTTGGAATATTATTATTCATTGTTATTCTTTATTTGAATTTTATATATTGTGATATACTTTTTTTCGCGAATTTTTTTTCTCGGATATATTTTACTTAGACATTTTTCGTTATCTATATTACTATGACGGAACACTCTCCTAAGGTTCTTAAGTTTAAGTCTATTCCCCCTATTTCGATTCAGTTAACGCCATTTTGGCCCGACAATATCGAGTCCTGGTTCTGCTATGCAGAAGCCGATTTTAGCATGCACGGAATCACGGACTCGCGCACACGTTTCCTCGCAATAGTTAAGGCGTTACCGTGCGAGTTTAACAGGTAAGTAACACCTAGTATGTTTACTAGTTATGTTCCCAAACTTTACGAAACGCTTAAGCTATCGATTTTAAAACGAGGAGACCTAACTGATCGACAACGGTTAGACCAACTCCTTAACAATATCGACTTGCAACATGGTTCTGCGACGAACATGTTGCTTAGAATGAGAGAGGTTATCGGCCAACGAACTTTCGATGATGGCCTATTTAGACAACTTTTCTTGTCTAAACTCCCTCAACAGGTGCAGGCAGTGCTTGTTTCATTTCAAAACAATGCCATAGATGAACTAGCTGCATCTGCCGATCGAATCTTGGAAATCACTAGATCTTCTAAGGCCGAGGTTTCTTCCGTCAAAGAAAAACCCCAATCGACCTCGACTGACATGGCCGAACTATGTCACACGCTTACACGATATCTTAGAGTTCGCAATGACCGTAGTCGGTCAAAAACCCCGCGTAGAAGCGCCTCACGTAAGCGATCTGGCTCTCGACCACGAGAGACAGACAATCCCGACTGGTGCTGGTATCACAATCAGTACGGTAAGTTTTCCAGAAATTGCAGGAAACCTTGGAATTATCCGACTTCCAAATCGACTGACACGAATAAGATTTCGGGAAACTTCCCAGCCGGCACGCGTTAACGGCAACCGTAGCCGGCGAACACAGCCGCCTCTTATATGTCACGGATGTGACTACGAAAGTTCGCTACCTCGTCGACACCGGCGCAGAAGTTAGCGTTCTTCCCGCGAACTCCAACGACAGACTTCACGAGTCTGTTTTAAGTTTACAGGCGGCAAACGGAAAGCCGATCGCTACTTACGGTAAAAGGTACGTCTACCTTAACGTGGGTTTACGCAAACCCATACACTGGATTTTCGTTGTTGCAGATGTCTCTATGCCAATCATTGGTATAGACCTGTTATAACACCACAATCTACTCATCGACACACGCTCACGAAAGTTAATAGACGGAAACACTAAGTTATCTGTTAGCGTAACTCTTTGTTCTGGTTGCAGGTTATCCCCAGTCACGATTAAACACACCATAGACCCATTGTACCAATCAGTACTCGACAAATACCCCGGGATATACCAATCGCAATCGAAATTGCCTTGTGTAACCAACAATGTTACACATCACATCTCGACTACAGGACCACCTGTATTTTCGAAAGCTCGAAGACTCGCTCCCGAGAAGCTTAGGTTAGCTAAAAACGAATTCGACCACATGATGGACCTAGGGATAATTCGACCATCGAATAGTCCATGGGCATCCCCATTGCACATGGTCCCTAAAAAGGACAGCAATGATTGGCGGCCAACTGGTGATTATCGACGTCTGAATGCTAAAACCATTCCCGATCGTTACCCGCTGCCTCATATTCACGATTTGACAGCTACCTTGAAAGGTACAACTGCCTTTTCGAAAATCGACTTGGTTAAAGCTTATAACCAAATCCCGATGGCACCTGACGACATTCCTAAAACCGCCATCATCACTCCCTTCGGTCTTTACGAATTTCTACGAATGCCTTTCGGTTTAAGAAACGCGGCTCAAACCTTCCAAAGGTTTATAGACGACGTCTTCCGAGGTCTCAACTTCGTACATGCGTATGTTGATGACTGTCTAATAGCAAGTCCGGACAGAGAATCGCATCTCAAGCATCTGGACATTGTTTTCGATCGACTCCAAAGGCATGGCATTACTGTCAACATACAGAAATGCCAAATCGGAACAAACTCCTTAGACTTCCTAGGACACACCATTGATGCCCAAGGCATCCGACCCCTTAGGAACAAAGTGGCGGCCATTCTGGATTGCCCAGAACCGACCACGATCAAGCACTTACGAACTTTTAACGGACTCGTAAGTTTCTATAGACGGTTCATACCTAAATGCGCATCCATAATGAAACCGTTAACCGATCAGCTTCGTGGAAATGCGAAATCAATTAGTTTAGACGACATAGCCCGTAAAGCATTCTCCACAGTTAAGGAACACATCGCTAAAGCAACCTTGTTTGCTCATCAGGACACTCAAGCGCCCATTAGTGTCGCCGTAGACGCATCCGACTCAGCAATCGGAGCAGTCTTACAACAATGGGTTAACAACTCGTGACAACCTTTAGTATTTTTCTCGAGACGGTTGCTAGACGCGGAATCTAGGTACAGCACGTTCGGCAGGGAACTCCTAGCTATGTATTGTGCTGTACGGCATTTCCAACATTCCATCGAAGTAAGAGAATTCACGCTTTTTACCGATCACAAACCTCTTACCTTCTCTTTAAATTCATCTTCAGACAAGTACTCACCGCGAGAGTCTCGACAACTCGACTACATTTCGCAGTTTACTTCAGACATACAACACATTTCTGGAGCAAACAATGTAGTCGCAGACGCCTTGTCTCGAATTAGCTCCTTGAACAGTTTCCAATGAATCGACCTTCTTAAACTCGCTCAGCTTCAAAAAGAAGACATTGATCTTCAGCATGAGTTATCCTCGACAACTCTTAAACTAAGTATTAGGCAGATGGGAACAGGTAAGGAAACCTTACTCTGTGACACATCTACAGGTAGGGATCGTCCAATTGTACCAAAACATTATCGCCGCAACTTCTTCAATACGTTGCACAATCTTTCTCATCCAGGTGCTCGTGCAACAATCGAACTTATAGCCGAACGCTTTTGTTGGCCTGGCATGAATAAAGACGTGAGGGAGTGGGCACGCTCCTGTGTAAGCTGTCAGAAATCTAAGGTAATCAGACACAACAAATGTCCCTTAGGTTCTTTCAAAACCCCTGACGCTCGTTTCGACCACGTCCATTTAGATTTGGTAGGACCCTTATCCGGCTCGAATGGATACTCATATCTCCTAACTTGCGTAGACCGTTTCACTCAATGGCCAGAAGCAGTACCGATTAAGGACATTACTGCTGAAACCGTGGCCCGCGCTTTCGTCGAACGATGGGTAGCAAATTTCGGCTGCCCTTCCACAATCACTACAGACCGCGGACGCCAATTCGAATCTGGACTTTTCCGTTGTCTGACCTCACTATTAGGAATCACGCGTTTCCGAACGACCGCCTACCACCCACAAGCAAATGGGTTGGTAGAACGTTTTCATCGACAATTAAAAGCTTCATTATCAGCTTCAAACGTTTCACAGTGGACAGACGCTCTTCCACTCGTCTTGCTAGGTATCCGCAATGCAGTGAAAGCTGACATTGGATACACGACATCTCAACTCGTTTACGGAACGACACTCCGACTCCCAGGAGAATTTGTAGATCCTTCAGCTTCTTCATTGAACATGGATCTAAACTCTTACACCAGTAGGCTTACAAACGCTATGCGTTCAGTTAAACCTGCTCACACTCGACCTCAATCAACTGATGTTTTCGTTCAACCCGAATTACGACATAGTACACACGTCTTCGTTCGTCGAGACTCACATCGACGACCCCTCGAATCAGCATACGAAGGACCCTTCAAAGTTCTTCAACGCGAACCTAAGTACTATGTAGTTGATAAGAACGGTACGAAAGATAGCATCAGTATCGATCGACTCAAAGCAGCGTACTTAGAACGAAACCCTAGCTACGTCGATTTTCCTTCGGTACAAGCAAACGACACAGCTACTACACTCGTAGTACCCTACACGACAACCGACACACAACTTGATACTTCGTCAACGTCAATAGAAAAACCTAAAACAACGCGTTCTGGAAGACGAGTCAGATTTCCAGAACATCTTAACGAATATTGCACGTAGGACACAGGTTTTATCTTGAATTACCCTTTCATTGTTTATTATATAAAAAATTTTTAATATGATAATTTTTTATTTATATAAAAAAACCAAAAAAACAAAACATTTTTATCTTTTTTTTGAGCGTATATATATATTTTTTATATATAAAAAAAAACAAAAAAACACTGTTTTTCCTGATCGCTTTTACGCTGTTGGTAAGTGTATTAGTTTTTTTCCCGCTCATCTTGTGTCCCTACGCAAGTACGAGTGTATTTCCGACATGCACTCACACGTTTTATTTTCTCTCTTTTCCAGGACGGCTGGAAAAGAACGACGAAGTTTCGCAAGAAACCGAAATTTTCATTGTACTGTATTTCTTTATTGCTATGTTGTACATTTTGGTCCCATAGTTTAAGGAAAGACGACCAGACGCTGCTAAACGAAGCAAGCTATCAGAAGAGTGTTTACCAACGACAAACTCGTTGGGTTTAAACTTCTGGCTGGTCACGTCTTAGGGGCATCACTACCTCACTAGGGGGGAGTGATCTGTAGCTGTAAATAATTCCCCAAAATCAATAGTTCATTAAGTGTTCGACATTGGATGCTGACCACGTTGTTTAAGTGGACTTGTTTAGCTGAAGGCTTTCGGTCATGCATCCGCACCAGATCACGTTTCAACTCGGCGTGGGACACAGCTCCTACGTTTCATTAGCCAGCTCATAGAAAAGGTCCTCGATATATTGGTAACGAATCAAATATATCGTTCCTGCCTCTTCTCGTCTGACTTCTGATTTCTATCTGACTGGGAACGATCAAATATAGAAGGTGCTACTGGTAGCTAGTTGTAAAACTAGAACATCCGTTGCATCATCAGTGTAAAAGAATCCAATCCAAAGTATAATGTTGAATGCACAAGGGATTGTATACATTGGGATGATTCAAAAGAGCCAATCTTTCAGGATTATGTTTATCTTTAGAATTTAGTAAGTAAAATACTCCCAATGGAGCACAGGCCGCCAACCAGCATTATCCAATCAACTCTGTCCTGAGCCTTCCTTTATAGTTCTATCCAACGTTTGTTCATTATCCACATGTCTGTCTCCATTTTTCGGTGTAATGTGTTCTTTAGTCTTCGGCTCCTCTTTCGACCTTCAGGATTCCATGTGAGGGCTTGCCTTGCGACGCAGTTGAGTGCTTTCCTCAATGTATACCCTTCCACTTCCAGTCGATCACCAGGAGGAAGAGAATGGGTGAGAGTAAGCAACCTTGCCTAACACCGGTCTTTACGTCAAACGAGTCGGCGAGTTGTCCTCCGTGGTCGATTTGGCAGTTTAGTCCATCATAGGAGTTCCATATGATATTGACTATCTTCTCAGGCACGCCTCCATAGTGTCGTCCTGTCCACACTATCAAATGCTTTCTCGTATTCAATGAAGTTGATGTACAGTGATGCATTCCATTCGATCGATTGTTCCACAATGATCCGCAGAGTTGCGATTTGATCTGTGCACGATCTATCCTTACGAAATCCAGCTTGTTGATCTCAAAGTTGGGCGTCCACGGAATCCTTCATCCTGTTTAACAATACTCGGTTGAAGACTTTTCCTGGTATTGATAGAAGAGTGATGCCCCTGTAGTTGTCGCACTTGCTAAGATCGCATTTTCTTTGGTATTTTGATCAGAAGTCCTTTTTTCCAGTCTGTTGGTACTTGTTCTTCGTCCCAAATCTTACTAAAGTGGATGTGGAGTATCTTGGCAGTTGCTGTTACATTTGCTTTCAGTGCCTCTGCCGGGATGTTTCTGGTCCCGCTGCTTTGCCACTCTTGACTTGTCTAATGGCCATGCTGATCTCTTCAATTGTTGGTGGGCCAACATCGATTGGGAGGTCTGTGGGTGCTGCTTCGATGTTGGGTGGGTTCAGTGGAGCTGGTCGATTCAAGAGTTCTTTGAAGTGTTCTACCCACCTGTTTCGTCGTTCTTCAATGTCGGTGATTACTTTGCCTTCCTTGCTTTCCACTGATCTTTCTGGCTTACGGTAATTTCCAGCAAGTTTCTTTGTTGTATCATACAGTTGTCTCATGTTTCCCTCTCTTGCAGCCTTTTCCGCTGTCGTTGCTAAATCTTCCACATATTTACGTTTGTCGGTTCTGATGCTCCTCTTCACTTGCTTGTTTGCTTCTGTGTATTCGGCTTGTGCCTTGGCTTTTTCCGCTCTTGTTCGGCTGATATTGATTGCTGCCTTCTTGTTCCTCCTTTCTTCAATTTTATCCAGTGCATCAACAGTGATCTATTACTTGCTATGGTGCTTCACAAAGTCACATTAGGTTCGATAGTAGAACTACCAATTACTTAAATATTGATGAATGACATTCACAAACGGATGGTTTTTGAAACTACTGATGATACGGCTGGTATTCTAGTTTGACAACTAGCGGCCAGTATCACCTTCTATATTCGAAACTTCCTACGCCTAATAGAAATCAGAAGTCAGACGAGCAGAGGTAGGTAAGATATATTTGATACGTTACCAATATATCTAGAGGCGTTTGTTCTTAGCTATCTAGTGAAACGCAGGACCTGTGTCCCACGCCGAGTCGAAACGTGATCTGGTACGGATGCATTACTGAAAGCCTTCAGTTAAACAAGTTCACTTAAACAACGTGGTCAGCATCCAATGTCGAACACTTAGAAAGCTATTGATTTTGGGGAATTATTTACAGCTAAACTACTCTCTGCTGACAGAAACCCATGTTTACGATTGAAGAATAACTATTCTGAATGATCTGGCCAGATTCAACATTTCAAAAGTTAACTGTAGAATTTTTTCAATGATGCTAAGTTACTCAGTTTACGCAGCTACTTGTGACTTTCTAGGAATCTTCTAAGCGGAAAGATTTTATGGTACTATTGACCCAGGATAGTACTTTATTACAACTTATTATTATTCATATTTCTTCTTTATATATTCCCCAATTTTTACCTGAATGTACTTCTCGACCACTGCTGCTGGATACGGAAGCTTGCTACAAGAAATTTTCTCTTCCACCACAATCCTAGATTTTTTTGTATATTGGACCCTCTGGTTTTATGACCTTGAGGCTGAGCGCTAATTCAAACGTGGGCTTCACATCATGAGGTTTCACATCAGTTTTTGGCGTTGCGAGTTGGTATGCATGTACTAGCTGTAGTATTTTAGATGGTCTACTATACATTTTACTATGCTTGTCGCAAAAGGCGACACTATAACTTATGATCCACTATATATTCTATTCTAATGCAGTACTCTTAAGATATCACAAGTATTGTTTGACAATACTTTATCAGCAACATCTATATGTAAATCGCGCATACCCAGTAAAATAAAAAGTCAAAAGCGAGGAGGTTGAAAGGTATATTTGATGAATTATCAATATATCGAGGAGTGACTGATCTAATCTGGCTAATGATCACAGGAGGCTCTGAGCACGCCTTTCTTTTTTTACATTCCAGGACGGCTGGGAAAGATAACATAAAGAACGATGAAGTTTACGAGGAACCGAAATTTTCATTGTATTTTTCTTTCTTTTATCTATATTGTACCTATTTATTTATTTAAACACATAAATATTGGTACAATGAAGCACCAGATAAATATGCGCCTCACAAATCTCATTCGATTTGTGTGAGAGCTGTGATACCAATGACAAACTCGTTGGGCTCAAACTTCTGGCTGGCCACGTTGTAGAGTCATCACTACCTCGCCAGGGGGAAGTGATCTGTAGCTGTAAATAAGTCCCACAAATGAATGACTCTGTGGTTGTTTCGATATTTGACGCTGACCACATTAGTTTTAATAGACTCATATAGCCGAAGGCGTTCGGTCATGCATCCAGACTAGATCACGGTTTGGAACGGCGTGCTCAACGTCTCCTTCGATCGCTAGCCAGATTAGATCAGTCACTCCTTGATACATTGATAATTCATCAAATATATCTACCAGCCTCCTCGCTCATGACTTGATTTCACTGGGTGTGCGCGGTTCAGTTGTAGGTGTTACTGTTAAAGTGTTGTCAAACAACAATACCCGTGGTATTCGGGTTAAATATTTCTGACGACACTTGATGCAAGACACCATGTAGTTTCGCATAGAGTTGAGATCAAACTACTACTTATTCACCTGCAAACCCCATGTTAACAGTGGTTAAAGCGGACGTTGTCGGCAACGCTTTAAATTATGCAAAATTTATAAATAAACATTTATGAATGAAAAATTCCTGCTTTGCGATCAGTGATACTGGGATGTCCGGCAACTTGAAATTTGGTTAGCGAACTGACTGCTTCCCACCTGCATTTTAGCCACGTCTATGTGAACTGAATTAGACAAATACTCCGGTTTCCGTTTCAACGTTCCTCTGTAAAAGATTGATAGGATTACTGTACTTACCTCTTGAGCTTCTCTGTCTTTATGCACATTTTTTTCGTCATTCAAACCATCGAAACAGTAGTCAGCCAATTTTCTAAACAAAACCATCATCCTTCGCAGTTTGTAAATTGTCTACAGTAAATGAATGTCTTTGTGTATGTAACACCACATAATGGATAACCTCACACTTGATAACCACTCAATTATCATCTAGTTGAAGTGTTTATAAGTTCATATCCACGAAGTTGCCAGAGTACATATATTTATTTTATTTGAACATGCATAATGGTAGTAAGGAGCACCGAAGGCATATGGGTCACACAAGTCACTTGGTTTTTGTGTGGGTTGTAATACTGCCCGGGTGCCAAAAACGAAGCAGGGGGTTTCCTTAGAGGGTCACACCCAAAGCTTTCAACCTAAAGGTCTGATCCACAAGGCAGTAGAACGACGTATGGAGGTGAAGTCATCAACGATTGGTTCATACACCATTTCTTCCTTTAGGATCCTAAAGCCCATGTTCACCACTGGTTTCCCAACTCCCCTGGGTGGATCCTCCATACACACCAACTCGGTCAAAGTACTGGACATTCACTTTTCGTCCTCTTAATTTCGTAAACAACAATAATGCCTCTGGAGGGCAGTAGCAGGACTTCCTTGGGAGTAGCTGTATACGCGTGGCCATGTGAGAGCATTGCGTGAGAGAGCTGACTCTACCCACCCTCGGTCGTACCAGGGCATTTGGGGGCACACACTTTTTCTCCGACAATCAATTTGGTTACTGCAATGAGAACTTGCGTCGATGGGCACAAACTATTCAGTAGTACTCGAAATAATACATAAAAGTTAGAAATAAGTTCAAAATTATATGAGCACGAAATACATTCACATGAACGTATGTATGAACACAAATATACGTTCAGTATAAGGAACCTATATATGTTCATGACTAACTACAGAGCACATAACCATACCTGTCATCCGAAGCGAATTGTTCTGTGAGATAATCTAACGGGTCAGTGAAATCTCTAAATTTAATTAATCCGTTTTCCTTTATATCTGTTATTAGCCCCGGTTTACCGTACACTTTCATTACGTTACCTGGCATAAATAAAGTGACTAGTACTCTTAAATGTAATTAGTTGTTTCTTCTAGTCATACTTGACGGATATGTCTGCAGTAGTTGCTGAAATGCTAGCTTAAAGCCTACCACAAAAAAGTTTTCTACATAACGCTGAGCTGCTTGCTTAACTTTAGCGTAATCGCTATGTGCTTTCCCAATCCGCCTCATAAGACTCAAATGGAAAGGTTTATTGCAGATCTAAAGATCCATCGAAATTAGCGCTATCAGCAAGGTGCTTTGATGAATGTATAACAAACTTAATTTTCGAGTCCTCAGCACTATTCATACAGAATAAAATTACACAAATCATATCCAACTCAATCTGTTGTGCTGCTGTGTAATTAAGAATCAGCTAACAGATACATCGTTAGTGCTAAACGTTTCGAATTTAAGTACAGCGGTAGTAGTAGTAAATGTTTAGGAAATATAGGGTATAGATGAAGAATGAGCAATCAACAACCCCACTTTTCATGACTTATGCTGAATGTCTGAAGGAGTCTTTTCAATACAACACGAGGTTGGTTTGTGTCCGCAGTAATAGTTTTGCATGTGTTTCTAAGTCTTTTGTATAAGGAATTTAGTCATAGATTGGTTGGTTTCTCCATCACACCTAACAATATCAAGTGCATTGAATCTAGAGGGAGTGGTGAATAGATTGAACCTGTTGGCAAAATTTGTCACCAGTTCACCATTTAGAAATCATCCGCCCTTCAAGGTGACGTCCCACTACTAAACACCTATCCTATTCTTCCGTTGTGATTTACTGCATATCTAACATCTGTATGAGTAGGTGCATCACAAATGAGGGCGACTATTTTAATAGTCATATGTTGTATAGTTGAAATCATGAATCAATTGAAGCTAGATCACCATGAAAAACCTGAAAGCACTGGACGGCCGTTTCCTCCTATTGTGGGACTCCTCAGCAGTGCGCATCCACGATTCTGCCTCGCGTGATTAGAACTCAGGACCTGCCAGTGAAATAGTAACTCACTGAAAACAATGGTGGACGGTTGCTCAATTTCGTGGATTGGTTGAAGTTAGACATTAACACCATTGGATGCCGGCTCACTGGTCTAGAAGTTAAGCGCTCTCGCGCGAGACTGATAGGTCCTGGGTTCGAATCTCGCAAGGAGGAATCGTGAATCCGCACTGCTGAGGGGTCTCACCATAGGACGAAACGGCCATCTAGTGCTTCCAGGTTTTCGATGGTGGTCTAGCTTCAATTGACTCGTGATTTCAGTTATATGTTTGTTGAACCTAGTGTTATGCAACTCTAAGTCGCCCATTTCTTTTGTTTCGGAAGCTATTTCAGCAGGTATTTTATTCAATTATTAGTTGGTTAGTTTGCTGCTAATAAAACTATCATTTGTTATTTTTAGTCTATTAATCAAATCCTGATGCCACACAGCAGTATAATTTTCTGAACTAGACCCTGCCTCTGTTCTGCATACTTATGATGTCTGGATATACACAAAATGAAAATGTAAGCCGTGGCTCGGACACAATGATTGATCGTTATTGCAACTCTTTAAATATTCTTAAAGAAAAGGTTATGGTAAGTTGATTGGTCGATTTTCATATCACCTTTTTACTTTTCTCAACAGAATCTATTAGAACAATATCATTCAATCATTATGCAAAAAATGGAATGTGATTTAGGAAAGTAGGTTCGTACTTTTGGTAATCCTTGACTTTATGTTGATGCTATAAATGTGTTTTTAACCTTGAAATATGAATACTCAGTATGATCAGCATATTGTAAAAATTCAGAATTCCATGCATAAAAAGCATATCAAAACATAATTAGCTGAGATATATCACCCTGGCAATTTATGTAAGCTCTCTAGATTATTTTGCTCTGTTATACACTGGTTATTGGAAAGATGGTTCAAAGATAGTATTCAGCTCAATCTAGCCAGATAAATGCAGTGTAAATCCTTATAGGTGGTCGTACTAGTATACTGTTCCATCATATAATGAGGACACTCAACTAATTAGCTATACTAAGTAATACTTGGGTTTCCGTTGTGTATACTATGACAGTAGAAGGTATCGATTTGTCTAAATATGCTTTAATTAAGTTATCTTTATGCTCATTTTGCAACACCAGTGTCCACTAATACTTGGCCTGATCGTTGTTACTACCTTGACGTAGTGGTCGGGCTTGCCTAACGTGATGAACCAATCGAGCTATACTTGCTGGAACAATCGTTCCTCAAGGTCCTACCATGCCAGACAGATCGGTTGAAGAGCGGTAAGACCAAGAGCAGCAAACCCAAGGTCCGAAGGCGAAGTCGTACTGCTGACTGGCAGAGGTGTGACGGAAGTAAGGTGTTTTCTTCAGACATCCAGCATAGCAGCGATGCCGCCTTTCCACAAGGAGGGGCGGGGTTAGAAAAGGTCGACCCTAAAAATGCACACCTCGCCTTATCCCACGGATATCCGTCTCCGGTGGTAAGGTCCTTTGAAGAACACACGAAAACTACCCACAAAATGGTCGTGTGTGACCGACTTCAAGCAGTTGTCCCTTGGGCACTGCGGTCACGCTCTCAGGTCACTAAGACAACTTCTAATCCAAATTCCTATTCAGGCACCCCTAGAAGAACCCTCCCACGGTGTGGGCGGCCGGGAAGTGATAACTGCCCTCATACCTCTAACAGCACTCAAGATCATTGACTGACTTGATTGAATCATTTTTTGCGAATAGTTTAGCTACAACTAGGCTTGCTGTATGAAAGCACGCTAAAAAAGATCTGTAAGTCTTCCTAAACTTGGAGCTCTCAGGTTGTACAAATTTGCAATTTACTCGGATATTTTCGTTGGAATGAATATCAGGTTATGCTTTGAACCCACTGAAATGACAGACATAACCATTAAATGAAACTACTTAAACTTTTTACTGAAATTCTCATCGTACCGCGTTATTAGCACTCACACTTAACTTTTCACCCACCTTACATCAGCGAGCACAATGTTGCGTTTTTCCTTGCTGACGTATGACTTTTTCGTATTACAAATCTTACCACGTTCGTGACAGCATATGAAAAATCCCTCGAAAATCCTTCATTACGACCTATAAATATAGGTGCCTCATTATCATTTGCCAAAATATATAACCTCTTTTGTATATCTGATCCATTTTCTACTTTATAGTTTATAAAGTTCGATGTAGTACGATTCTGGCTAAATAATTTCCTATTGTGGTTTTTTTTCTACATGATTGTCATTTAAGGGCTAAGTACAATATACAACTGTTAGGACGTAATTCAGTAAAGTGGATTCTAAGGTATTGAATAATGGTTAGGAGTCTAGATTTGTGGTTTTACTAAATATCTTATGATAATTAATCCCAGGAGTGATGTCATTTAGCTAGTAAACTTAAAGCTGGGATATATGTTATTTTCTATAAAGTTGATCACTTCGATCGGTTTATTTATTTTATTTTAATGTATGATCTGCGTGCTGGTTTTATCCTTCCATCCTGATTTCTGTTTTACAGAAAATCCATTCTTAATCTTAATATCAACTTTTAAGAAAGTGCTTTTTGTATAAAATATTTTGACAAGTTTCATTATATTTCCATAGCTTACTCTCCTACAATACTGGTGGATTTCAAAGTCATCTGGCAGATGTCTTTTCTCAGATGAATGATGTTGAAGTCCATTTAAACAACTTGGAAGCTTGGGCTGGCCTTCCTCCTGAATGCTTCACTTCAGCTAGTTTAAACTATGGTATCCCAGATCCGGATCAAGTATCTCATGAAGCCCAAACCCTAGTGGAGGCTATCCGACATTTACAAGCTGAATTGCGTGCTATGACTACAAAGTGTCAAACAAACAGCACACTTACCACAGGAAACGTGCCATCAGTTACTGCATCTGATAAAAGTGATAATAACCAGGATCGCATTACTTCTTCAATCCTAAATTCAGTTGCGAGAAAAAGTCCTGTTCCATTAACGGTTATAAAATCTGAGACTGCTCATTATCCAATCCAGTGTAATCCATCTATATCGCCATCTGCTGGTGATCTGAATCAAGGGTATGTAGATACATTGCCACAAGTACCATCTTTTCCATCAAATGAAGAAGGACGTAGTTCTCATCACCCAGGCAGTAGACCTCCATACAGTTCCAATACTAATACAGCTACCCGTTCACCTAGTGTCGATCGACGTCAACAATCTACTATTTTGACTGATGTTTACCGCACGACATCTGGGCACCATTCTTCGTTTTCGCCTATCCCACCACAACAGTATGCTTCTGGTCAATACAATCAGTTCCCTCCTTCTAGCTCTGTTGAAACTGTATCTTCAAATCGTATGGCTTCTGAAACGTATTTGCAATACACGTCACCAGGGTGTTTAACACGAACAACTGAACCGTACACACCAAGACCTCACTAATATTAATTTTGTTACTTTAAACTGAGTAACTTTTACGGTCATGACATCAGGCAGAATGACAGTGTTAACTTTTTATCTGTGCACAAGGTTTGATCTCTTGTCAAACGTTTGTATATTTCAACAATAGATAAGAAATATCAATAAACTTTTTTTACTAGTTTCTAGTTTTTGTAGAATGCATTTTTGTTGCTGAGTGGTAGTACAAGCAGCGATATCCACACAAAATCCGTGATGAAAAACTTTACTCATTTTGACTGTACTCAAATTATGTAGATTGCTTCTAAGCACATTGTACTTTTTTTCAACAAAATATGCGTAATACACAACCAACAGGCGGGAAAAAGCATTAAAAGTAATATTAAATGTATTTTGTCCACTTGGAGGTGGCTTCTGAACACTGAAATGGTTTCTCATTACTGGTTGGCGAATCGCTAATAATCACTAAGGGTTGAATCCCACCTGGAGCTTTTATTGGGATACTGCCAGTCCTAAATCTGTCTAAGGGGGGAGGGTTGGGCATAAGGTTAACTACCCCATCCCGTATAAAAGGACCTTGTTAAAATAAACTAGCCAGATAAAGTCATCCTAATCGTTTGATGTAAGATCTCTTTGTTTCTCACTTCCCCAACTTCCATATAAATCAAACGTATCTTTATTTATTTAAACACATAAATATTGGTACAAGGAAGCACCAAATAAATATGCGCCTCACAAATCTCATTCGATTTGTGTGAGGGTTGTGATACTGCCCAGGTGTCCAGACTGAAGCAGGTGGTCTTCTTAGGGGGCCACAACCGGAGTCTTTGACCTAAAGGTCTAGTCCACAAGGCAGTGGAGCATCGTAAGGAGATGCAGTCCCATGGTAGCCGGTGACCAACAGTTGGTTCACACGTCATTCGTTCCTTCAGGATACTGGAGCCCATGTGCACCATTGGTTTGGAATCAATGTTTTCCAACTCCCCTATGTGGACTTTCCGTGTCCATCAACCCGGTTAAAGCGCCGGACATTCGCTTTTCGTCCTCTCAATTTTGTGAACAACACCACCGCCACGAGAAGGCAGTGAGTAGGACTTCCCTGATAGAGGCTATATATTCGCGTGTCCATATGAGAGCATTGCGAGAGGGAGAGCAGATTCTCCCCACTCTCGGCCGTACCAGGGCATTTGGGGGCAAAGTATGGCAACTGACTTTTGCAATGTGGAGGTGCCGGGCCCTCTCGCATGCCAAGCGAGCTCTCTACCACTGAGTTACACCCCCACACCACAATCCAACACAATATACAGTTACATGCGACATTTCAGTATCTTTACTCCCAGTGTGATTAAACTTACAGGTTGCAGTTTCCCATTAAAATTGTGGTAAGTTATTTTTAAGACAAGTCATCTATCAGAAGTTGTTTTTTGTTTATGTTAGTGTTTTCCAGGGAATTCATTAACTCGGAATTGTTGTCACTAACTTTTGATGTCTCTAACACTTTATAAATAATCTTAAAATATAGGACCTACAAGGTCGGGAGTTGGGATAATTTGGTTTATTGCACAAGGTAATCATAATGATGTATCGCTAATGTTACTGATTAACTTCTATGCTTTAACTCTTGACCATTTAATGACTTATTTGATACGAGATCGGAAATTACGGAGTCAGATCTAGTAAAGTTTTGAGGGCTTTTACGATAGAATAAATGTGTTCTACTTCTATAAACACTACTTTGTAATAAAGTTGGTTGGACGTCCTAATGTATCGTAAATATCGCGTCATAAAAATTAACTGATATACAATTGTCTCCGAATATCACTTATAAACGACCAAAAATATTGTAATGTGGGAAAAGTGAACTTCAAAAGTGGCTAGTTTACTCACCAAATCTGGAGTTCACAATGAACCATAAAATTCCGTTAAGAATATTATGAAGTTCCTCTTAATAACCATTAGATAGAGAGGTTAGACACAGGGTATTAGGGAATGACGGTAAATCGGTTGGTGAGGTCATTAATCCTCATCGACTGAGACGGTTGGGCCACGTGTTACGTATTCCTGAACACCGATTATCATGACTCGCTATGCTGACTAGTATTGGCGATGGTTGGAAGAAAGTTAGGGGCGGCCAAACCAAAACGTGACATCAGTGCTTGAAGTCACTAACTTCTAGTCTCAGCCGTGTTGGTAGATGCAGACTACTTGGTTGGGGTCCACGTGACTATCGTACCTAATGGTTGGAGACTCTAGGTGACTTGGCTCAGAATCGATCATAATGGCGTAAGTGTATACACTCTTTCTCTTCCCTTAAACTGCGAGATTAAAATTGCTCCATATCTTTCTTCCTGGACTATATGCTTATCTGAAATCCTTCCTTTATATATTATTACCATTAAATTAACTACTACGAATTCGATGTTGTGCTAACGAGGTATGGCAACTTGAACCGATGCATATATATGCCTGGTCCGACGTTGTAGCTGACTGACTAAACCATTAGATTAAACTTAGCTACCAAAAAGTTGTTAAGATAGAGATTCAGTAATTATTACATGTAAAATGTTTCATCTATGCAAGTTTATACTTACCTAGTGAGTAAACAATTATTGTAGAGGATAAAAATATTTCTAGAAGTTCACTTGGTTTATCAATTCAACATCTACTTTCGGATATCATTAAGATGAAGATAGTCGGGTATCTTATTTGATCAATAGTAACCACTAACAGTAAGTATTATCAGACAAATTAACATTGTCTCTGTACCACTTGGTTACCATGTAAAACAATTTATATTAAGAATGTTAGGATCTTGTTGTTTGAAAAGCTTAAATATGGAACAACAAATTGTTAATCTTAGTAACTTCATTACATACATCGACCATTCTCTAGATATTCGGACCAAAGTCTCTGCTGACTGACTCTGCACATACTTACTTACGTCTGTTATTCCCAATAGAGCATAGGCCGCCGACCAGCATTCTCCAACCCACTCTGTCCTGGGCCTTCCTTTCTAGTTCTATCCAACTTTTGTTCATTCTTTCCATGTCTGTCTCCATTTCTCGGCGTAATGTGTTCTTTGGTCTTCCTCTTCTCCTTTGGCCTTCAGGATTCCATGTGAGGGCTTGCCTTGCGACGCAGTTGAGTGCTTTCCTCAATGTGTGTTTTATCCACTTTCAGCGCTTCTTCCTGATATCTTCCTCCGCTGGTATCCGGTTTGTTCTCTCCCACAGTAGGTTGTTGCTGACAGTGTCTGGTCAACGGATCCGAAGTATTTTGCGTAGACAACTGTTAATAAATACTTGTATCTTCTGGATGATGGCTTTCGTAGTTCTCCAGGTTTTCGCCCCATACAGTAGAACTGTCTTGACATTTGTACTGAAAATTCTGATCTTGGTGTTGGTTGACAATTGTTTTGAGTTCCAGATGTTCTTCAGTTGTAAATATGCTGCTCTTGCTTCGCCGATCCTCGCCCTCACATCTGCATCCGACCCACCATGTTCTTCAATGATGCTGCTCAGATATGTAAAGGTTTTACACCCAAAGCTGCTTCTCCGTCAAGTGTAATTCGATTGATGCATACTGTGTTGTATCGGAGAATCTTGCTTTTTCCTTTGTTTATATTGAGACCTACTGCTGCTGAGGCTGCTGCTACACTGGTCGTTTTCTCCTGCATTTGTTGTTGCGTTTGTGATAGAAGAGCCAGATCATCCGCGAAGTCTAGATCGTCAAGTTGCATCCTGCCTGTCTACAGTATCCCGTGCTTTCCTCCAGTCGTTGACGTCTTCATGATCTAGTCGATCACCAGGAGAAAGAGAAAGGGTGAGAGTAAGCAACCTTGCCTAACACCGGTCTTTACCTCTAATGAGTCGGTGAGTTATCCTCCGTGGACGATTTGGCAGTTTAGTCCATCATAAGAGTTCCATATGATATTGACTATCTTCTCAGGCACGCCGTAGTGTCGAAGAAGCCTCCCCGCCTCTGCACATACTGGTCATGATATCACGTCTTCAGGAGTTATTCCCTCTCAAGCAAATCATATTTATCATTTGTTTTTGTATACAACTGAAATTTAACATGTGGGGAAACCAATGGTCAAACTTTCTTGGTAATATTTCTTTACGGATTTTATGTAAGAAATCAAATGTAACCAACCATTTTGGTTCCCGCTAGTTGTCAGTTGCTGGGAAAAGGAAATCTTTATTATGCAGCTATCCCTTCAACACAATTAAAAAGACTTACAAGCTTCTCTAATGTATGCAGCAGACTTTTGTCTTTTAAGTAGCTTTGGATTTAACTTTTTCAAAACTGTCTCGTTTGTTATAAACAGAGATGGATGGTGGCCAGCAATGGAACCTAGGACACGCGTTTCGCCCAAATATGGAATCGCCAGATGTATGCACCTGCATCCCAGAGTTGATCTCCACTCCGGGACTCGAGTCCAGCACCGTTCGCTTCAAACGTCATTGCATTATTTACTTAGCTACTGAGTCCAGATACCCACTGGTTTGTGCAATACGAATAAATTAGACTTCACTACATTGCACAAGCCAGTGGGTATTGCGACTCAGTAGTTAAGTGGATAACATGATGGGATTTGAAGCGAATGATACTGGGTTCGAGTCCCGGAGTGGACATCAACTTTCAGATGCAGGTACATACGGCTGGCGAGCCCGTAGTAGGATGAAACGCGTCCTAATTTCCATTGCTAGTCACTATCCATCTGTGGCTATAATTCTTGTGACTGAAGGAAATATCGAGGCAACCCCCACAGGATGCATACATCTCAATAAGAAACTGATCAATTGCAGTCCTAAATATCAATGAGAAGATTAGAACAACCAACACAAATGAACTGCTTTTTTACTGATTGATACTTATTTCTTACTAATAGTTGGATTGTATAGTCACTTATACGATGACGTACTTTTTAAAATATTTAGACTATAGGGATATTCCAATAAAGTTTAGATTTTGACATCTTATCAGATAATCTTTGGATTCTAGACATAATATTAAATTATTATCTTATTAGTTTCAGATATCTCCAAAAATTCACCGCTATTTGTCAAATAGCATTCTTCGTTGTGATGGTTTTCTAAGTTGCATGAAGAAATGTAATAACTTATTCTTAATATCTCTAAGCACTTCTTCAAAATATCCATCAAACAACAAAAAGCATTGGGAAAAACTTGGTGTAAATCCTGATCAAAAACCAGGATTTTCTACTACATATCGAGAAGTTGAAACAGGAGTTAGGAGTTTAATACATGTGCCTAATCATCGGATTGCAGGTAAGACCAGTGGGAGTTCTTCAGAGACGTATGTACAACCGAAACCACTCAATATACGATATAATCCACGTATGTATGATGGTGGCTTGCTTCCAAGATTAAATTATACTGATAAACAAGTTGTTCTACCTGAACATAAACCACGAGATTTTTGGTCCCCACATCGAGCACATTTTGGTCAAAATGACTACATTGGTATGTTTACCACTTTTTCCTACATATAACGTAAATTGTTGCATCCGCCCATCATTTTCTTTGTATTTTCATAACAAAACAAACTTTACTCTAATTTGTCACTGTTGTCACACAGATGAACAAATGACAACGTAGTTTTATGAAAACTGGAAATATCTTCAAGATAATGAAATTCTCAAAAGACGAAGATATTAAACCAAAAAATTATAATTTATGAATGAATTTATGAATGGCTTATAATGAGATACTCGCCTGTGATATTAGAAAATGGTCTCATCGATCATAACTTGTTTGATGTCGAGGAATTTTGAATACTGGATTCAGACGTAAAAAGTTTATTTTGATCAGTCTTAGGCAGAACCTTACGGTTTAAGGTAAAACATCGTTGAAAAGTCCCAGGATCAAGTTATTTCTTGTTGCCTAGTGATGTTCAATCGTTTTTTTAAGGTTTGTGCTATGTATAATCTTTACAGAAATATTTATTAACGTCCACGTCGTTTAACGAATGTTTTGTGTATAAATGTGTGCACATATTTAATTGTGAGAGATTGATACAGACAAACAGTTATATCAGTATAAAGCGTTGCACCAATTCATCAAAGTCGTCAAACTTCATAACAGTTGGGAAAATATGGAGCGTCTTAAATCGGGAGTCCAGTGATTATTAGAACTAATAAACTATTCAGTATTTAGAAATAAAAGTATGAATATATCTACATCATTATGTTTTTTTTAAAACTATACTTCCTAGCCCTCAACCAGAGAACCGTGTCCAAGAATTCTTCATTTCTATAAACTACTAGAATAACCAGTCTGTCACCGGTGACATGTTTTGGTATGATAAATCTTAAATTTTTAATAGATTAGTCCTGCTTAACTCAGAATCACACATTAGAGTGAATAATGACTTTGCATACGTAACACAACCTGTTTCACTACAGACGTACAAATTTATGAACCCTATCATCTACTTTACTCCATTTTGCTTAAAACTTTATATATTACTAATCTCAACAAGTGAACTTAGGCTCCATTCCGTAACCCACTGATGTATAAGTCTAATTGCCACACATGCAACACCTGAATTCGTATTGCTGCTATCATTTTTGTGGTTTCGCTTTGTTTTAAAAGTTCATTATTAAAAAGTCGTCACACGTAGCAAGTTTGATCAACTAAATTAGTAACTCAATTACTAAGTACGTAATTATGTACTAGACTTGAGACGTCAACCTTTTGGGCATGGGAACTAATGATATTAGCTAGCTGTCCGAACCGGATTATAGTTTAAAACTACAGCCTAATGTTTACAAGACTTAAGGTCTTGTAATTATTACTCCACTGCATCACAATAAACTCTAAAATTACTGGTGTTTTGCTCTGTCTTATGAAATACTTCGCATATATTTTCAAATGATTATGCTAGTTTTCGTATTTATTAAATGGTATTATTAATAGTAGGTGTATTTTCTTCATGTTTTAGATATTCTAGGTGACGGAAAAATTAAACCCCGTGATTTTTATACTGGACCTCCATGGGTGTTAGGTGCACGAAATGAATATCAACGTATATGCTCGCGGCTTAACAATCCAGCTATCGTTGCATGGATGGAAGAGTTTGAACCATCTAAATTGACAGCTGAGTATAAATTACAAAGATACTTGTTCAAGAAAGTGAACAAGCGTAAAAATATCAAATTTGAACGTTATCGTGATTCGCCTTAAGTCATTGATTCGACAATGTTTTGTTTTTGCTTTCTGTATACGTGTATATACGCATATGAATAAATAAATAAATCATGTATGATTTCATTTTATACTTCTCTAGAGTGAATACTCAGTTGCGTCATAATACCTCATACAGTAATTCCACAGTAAATAGGAAGTTATACAAACTACACAATAGTCATTTAAGTAATAAACCGTTCAATTTTCTCGTTTCATTGGAAACAAGATTGTCCTCAACAAGCTACCTTGTGTGGACCGCCTCATAACAGATTTAATTCTCTTTAATATGTTTCCGGTTACCAATGATAATCTTTAAAATGTTTGTTTAAATATATAGTAGTGAGTTGGTTGATTATGGATTTCGTGATGAATAATGCATGTGTACACAGATTGTATTCTTGTTGATAACTAGCTAATCTTCAGTACGGACTGAATATTGTTTATCAGAAATACACCGCTACTTTTTCAACTGATTCACTATAGCGCTGAGTTTGCATTTAATATTTTAACTTGCTATCTTGTAATCACTCTCTTTATATAGTCGTTTCTGCACTGGATTGGTCTAAACACTAATACTGTCAACTGTAATGTTCTTAATAGTCTCTAAGGGATATGATGTTGAATCTTGAGATGTCCGTACCTTTCTTCGAGTCTTTTAAACAAATTTTATTAATAAGATCCAAACGAACACATAGTTCTGACAATAAATGAACTTGACAAGCTGATACACTATCATTCCATTCGCGAAAAAGATCCTATATGCTTCCTAATCAGTGTTTATTTAAATTATACTTGCTCTTTCATAGTCAGTTACCTTTTACATTTTATGGGGACTGCCCAAACGCTTATGTATAACACCAAACAAGATGGTTAAGCTAGAAAGTACATTTAGAGGAAGTAGATTATACATATTCAACGTAAATTCATCATTCTTATCTACGAAATATGTAGCTAATTGCCAAGTAATGTTTAGCTCTTTCCAAAACCTATCCAGTTTCGAAAAAATTCTGAAGTTAGAATATAATTGTAATTGCTATACACCATTTTTGAATTGATAACTATAGAGCCTAGTGGCACAGTTGTTTTAAATATTACTCATTTTGTTATATTTACTTCGCAGTTTTCTGTTAACATTCCATTCCTGGATTAAAATCTCACAATTAAGGATAAGACTTAACAAAAATATGTGGCCTTTCAAATTACTTATCATAGTGAGGATTCTGCATCCTGTCGAGTATTTTTTTAAAATGATAGAATAATGACTTAGAGATATTCGTGATTTTTCATAACTCCGTGCCTTATTTTATAAAAAATGTAGCGGCTTTACTGAAGATATGTTTTTTGTCTCAGTTTATGCTTTTGAATACTTGTATGAAACTTGACTGAACTTCTTAAAATTATTACCACTAGGAGAATGAGGCGAGGCTACACAAAATAGTACACCAGTTCCACGTTTCTACGTCCCAACAAGATAATAAGAAAGAGAAAATATCTAAATATAACTGTGAACTGACTTTTAAAAAGAGAATATAAAATTGATGAACTAGCATTCTCATAAGTTTCCCCTCACTTTTTCAACCATCGATTCCTAAAGTCTCATCTGGAAGATATCGATTTATTTTTTAATGAAATAGTGGAGAATACTTATAGCTCAAAATGAAGATGTTCGAGGTGTTGTGATCTTTAACCAGAATGGGTTGATTGTAAAGCTTTCATTGCTCTTTTAAACAACATCTTCAGCACGTACTCTAAAGAAAGATGACCCATGCATTGTACTTTTAACCACTGACATATATGTTTGAACTCCACTTTACCTAATTTAGCTTGACATTCTCGTAGTATGGACAGTTTTCATAGCCAACTACATGGACCTATTGTTGACGATAGTCAAGCTTATAAAGTTTTTAACATTAACCGATCTAAATCTACATGTCAGTAGCCAGTAAATCCATCTATTAATGTCAAGTTAAATTAATCACTCAAGATTTAACCAACGTGTTGTCAAACGAATACGTGTAATACTTTTTAGTGACACTTGACATTAGTAACTGCCGATTCAATCTCAATGATTTCCCTTCAATTTGCCTTGTTTCATATCTGTTGACTAGATTAGATAAACCTATATACGTTTTCATTTAGCCTGTTGGAAAACCCATCGAGAAATGAAATCAGGGCCGATCAAAGCTCAAAACTACAACATCAATGCTTTTTTCTAGAATTCGCTAATATCATCAAGTGCAATGTTTCAAAATGGTATGAATACTGAACAATGCGCTACTCTTAAATACAAGTTCTTATGCTACAACATCACTTCCACTATGTTGCTGCCTGAATATGAGGAATCCTCCAAAAATAACAATTGTTCACTATTGAGATTAATTGACCATTATTAGCTCTAAAAGTTAGAAAAAACTGCTTGCACCACAATCTGGGTGACCAGGGTGATGGGATGACGTTTTCAAAGATGTTGCAGATTAAAGTAAGTCCATATAGTATTCGCTCCAGAAAGACTAGTATAGTCTTTGAGGCTAACATTCGCACCGACGTCACAACTGAGGTAGAAGACTACTGCTAGCGGCTTGCTATCAAAAATAAACACATACAGTGTCCACTAATTTTTCACGAGTTAGATGTTTCTCACACGTCAATGATGTCTGTATTATAAGTGCGCACTGGTTGGAAATCTTTTATAATTCTAGAAAAGCTGTAGAAGTCGTTATTTGACTATCTAATAACACGGTCTTACTGAAAACCCAAATAATCCTCGACATTGAATATATTCATTTATAGGCACTTAATTGCGAAACTCATAAAGGTGACATTTCAATCTATTTTTCATTGTATGTAAATTGTAATCCTTCTACATGTAGATAAGGATAACGGAAAAATATGGTTTTCTTTAATAAACATGGATATTTGCAATTGAACTAAGTATTCGCGAAACTTAAATTAGAGATGAGATTAATATGTCTTGGTGTATTACAAAATAATACAAATTGTCATTTCCCTCACAGTTTGATTCATTGTTTAACTATTCTATCTCATCTTTTATATCGTACACACTGAACAATATCAGGTCTTCCACCACCTATCTCTTTCGACTTATGGTGTCTCCGAGTTTCCTGAGTATAAGCAGATGAATTATAAAATCTGTTGAACTTCCTGATTATATTCTTTTACATGTAATGCCATTTAAAAAGGATTTCCTTACATAAAAACCAGAATCTTTTCATTTGTTGAAAATCAACTATCTTCAATATAATAAACAAAGATGGTTGGTGGCTAGCAGTGGAATCCAGGATTCGCGTTTCATCCTATTTGGGACGAGTCAGTTGGTATGTACCTATATCCAAGAGTTGATGTCCACTCCGGGACTGGAACCCAGTATCGTTCGCTTCAAATCCCATCACGTTATCCACCTAGCTACTGAGTCCTGATAGCCACTTGCTTGTGCAATGGGGTGAAGTTTAAATTCACTCGGTATTATTTACTTGGATCTTCCCATTGATGTTTAGGGCCGTAATTGATCAGTATCTTGTTGGCATATGTGAATTCCACTGCTAGCCACAAACCACCTTTACTTATAATGCTTGTGAATTAAGGCGATATCGAAGCATTCCGCACAGGATGCATATATGTCAATAACAGACTGATCGATTGCAGTCCTAAACATCAATGGGTTGATTCAAACAAACAATACCAAATGTATTTTCAGTATATTTTTATAGCATTGAGACATATTTAGCACCAGAGGAAAACCAATCACATTTTCATTTGTCTTGTTAGGTGAAATTCTAGTTCTTCAGGTTAGTCACCTTTTGACCTTGGAATATTAGGAAGGCACTGGTTAAAGTGTTAAAAATCCGTAATAATGAATCTATCCCTGCCTACCTAATCTCCCACTCTGCTTGCGATCTGTGCTAAAGAAATCGTAACACATAGATTATCTTTTGCCCAATCATATATTCGATTAGGCAGTAGGTAACGAAACACGATTTTAATATTTCTGTTAACCTGTAACTTTGTCTGTATATACACGTATACAATTATTTAGACCACAGATGTAAAAATCACATCCACACAATTGTACTGTATAAATGTGCAAATTTGTTTATCTAGTAACGTGCACGTATGCACTTGTGTCGTCCCAATATATTGATTGGACCAAAAAAATATAGAAAATATGGAAATGTTCTAATATCATTCATAAGTATAAAATATTCTGGAAGTTTTCTTTTTTGAAAGATCCTTATGAGTTTAACTTGTAATATTCGTAATTTAGCTGGTCAAGTTAAGCATAAATTAATTGGTGAACGTAGGAGATCATCAAGTTCACATGAGTCAGATAATTCTGGGGAAATAAGTGGTAAACATGGAAGACGGACCACTGTTCAAAAACCTCAACAATATACCATTCAATTTGAGCAAAACGATGGACAACTACATCGAACAACAACGACAAAAACCGAAGTATCATCACAAAAACACAAGAAACATCAACAGAGCAATTCACTGCATGACAGTAATGATAATAACAATTCCCTACTATGTGATCTAAACAGATCAATACCACTTGAAACAAATAATACAACTGATAAACGATTACAAAAACAGCAATGTCAGTTGGTAAAATCGATTTGTTATTGTCAAGTTAACTCTACATGTCTAAATCAAACAAACTGCACAATGTCAAATAATAATAATAATAATAATAACATGCAATCTACATCTCCTTCATCGTGTATACATAATACACAAAAATTACAAAATATACCTACTCATAAAATATGTAAGCAAATTACTCCTACGTCTAGTTCATCACCTATTTTACAAGACCGTTCACAAGATTATTCCGAAAGTCAAACAGATAATAATGTCATATCAGAAACAACAATACAACATCATTGTTGCAATCAAACTCCTAAATATTATCAACAACATCATTCTAAACAACGTGTATATGTTTCAAATAGTGAACATTCAAGGTATGATATAAATCGGTATACAGATAATAATAATATTTTAAAATTATCAGATACATTTAATTTATTTTATTATTATTTAATTATTTAAACACATTATTATTGGTACAAGGAGGCACCAGATATATGTGCTCCGCACAAATCTCATTCGATTTGTATGAGAGCTGTGATACTGCCCAGGTGTCCAAACCGAAGCAGGTAGTTTTCTTGGGGGGCCACAACTGGAGTCTTTGACCTAAAGGTCTGATCCACAAGACAGTGGAGCATCGTAAGGAGATGCAGTCCCATGGTAGTCGGTGACCAATAACAGGTTCATAGGTTATTTGTTCCTTCAGGATACTAGAGCCCATGATCACCAATGTTTTAGAATCAGGGTTTTCCAACTCCCCTATGTGGACTTTCCGTGTCCATCAACCCAGTTAAAGTGCCAGGCATTCACTTTTCGTCCTCCCAATTTCGTAAACAACACCCGCCACGAGAAAGCAATAATTAGTAGGGGGAGTGAGGAGTCTCACAATAGAACGAAACGGCCATTTAGTGCTTCCAGGTTTTCCATAATGGTCTAGCTTCAATTGATTCTTGATCTCAACTATTAAAATTACTAAAATATAACACAACAGTTATTTAATTATCATTTATTTTAAACGATCATTCGAATAATATCGACTTATAATTGAATCCAACATGAAAATATCTCAGTACTTTGATTTATTAACTTGACGTATGTTTGAAAAGCTCCAACATATAAGAAAAGCCAAAAGTTAATGAAGACATATTATTTAAGAATCGTGACGGGATAATGGTTAATTTTGAAATATTTGGTCACAACCGTATGTCCTCCAAATATATCTGTACCATCAATTCAATGGTATATCGACGAAATCGTGACACTAGACTGCTTGGATTTAGAAGCTCTGATAGCTCAAAATCTCTTCTATCCTTCTGTGAATTATGTTTTCTCTCATCTGTATTAATTGTAATCGTCAAGAATTTAACCTACCATTCAATAATATCGTTAACACTTGGGAAATACGCGAATGAAACAGTACAAAAATACTGGTAGTACAGGTAGCTAAGCATCTGGAAACTGCTTAATGTCATCTCAAGTTTTACTGTTATTTTTTGTATGTGCTAATAATATTTAACTTGTTGGAGGATCTTTCAGTACATTTTCCCATCATATATGCCAATATTTGTAAGCATGTACGAGGCGACTTTTGATGAAACATATCTGACGTAAACTCAAACTGTTTTTTCAGGATTTCTGTGTTGTTACCAACTATTTTGTGAATAGAATATAAAGTATACACGACAACTATGAGTTTCTTTCTTAACTCCATACTAATCTTCAGGATATATCTTTATGCTTTTTTCTTGATCACTGAAGCATGAGAGTATTAAGATGAAATTTAATTTAAACTTACGTCACAAATCTCACGAATAGTTTGCTTCGTTTACAGTCATATGACCTTGAAAAATAATGTATTCATATGGGTTCTGTCGACCCACAGACCCAGACAAAAATAGCAAGATAAAAGGTAAACGAACGAAAACAGTAGAATCAATACTGGTTAAAAACCAAAAATAATAAGGAGAAATCTGTCCAGATAAATGAGTATAATGATGTTCAGTCCACGACTTACTAGAAGATAAAAAATGAATATAATATCAGGATTACTGCAGCCGGTCTTTATACGTACTATGATTATCTCATCGACACTAACCTTGAAATCTAACTGGGGTTAAACTAGTGACTCAAAGAAATCGTGAAATATTTTGATGTAGCTATCATTAATCTTCAAAGTTAAGTATCATAACGCACCAAGGTAGGAGCTGGGTGGGCATATGGAAAATATATTTCAACAATCTTACCCGATAACGTCTGACAAACTTATTACAGAGCTTATTACTTTTATCTAGTACTGTTCATTTTACGTTAGTATTATACACTTAAAGCTCTGTATCAAATATAAATATAACCAAACACTTGGAAACTTCTTATGTCTTCTACTTTCAAAGGAGATACTTCACAGGCGAAAAAGTAGTCAAGGAAGTGAAATATTGCTCAAAGTGCCATCACCTTGATTCCAAAATTTCAACTATTAGTTTTACTAATGAAGATTTCACGTTTTAAAGTTAGTGCTAAATCAATTAAATGTGGGAAATATCGGCATAAACTGTCATTTATGAGTAGTATTTCAGTTGATTAGTTAATCTTTAGCACTTTCTATCATTTCACCTCTTCCGTCTACTACACTTTTATTCCTCACAAATTTTTCCATACAGTAATGAATCGCAACAGAACATTAAGGCCTCACCTACATCTTCTCATGTTAATAGCAAAATGTACAATCGGTATAAAGGAAATACTGGCAAGGAAAGTAAAAACAATCACACCACTTCTAATACTACTACCGTTACTACTGTGGCATCTACTTCTAAAATTACTAATAACAGTCATAAAATGTTTGGCTATCATCAAAGTTCTGATATAAATTTACATCAAACAACAGATTATCCTTTATTGAATGAATGTCAACAACAACATGGATCTACATATTTCATTCCAGTTGTACCAGATCTATCTATTCCACAAGATGAAGCACGTTCAGGTAGTTTGGGCAGTGCATATCCTTCTCATTGTATACCTTATCATTTCGGACATAGTAAGTATGCTTTACTTCAAGGAAACAATCATCAACATCATCTACTTAACCATCATTCTCATAGACATAATCATCCTAACATTAATGTTACTGAGAATCATAATAATAATATGAAATCAATGCATAACAATAAATACAATAATCCAAGATTAACAATGAGTTATTCTGAATTATTAAATTCATTAATCCCACATCATTGTCAGAATCAATTCAAAATGTGTGGAGTTTGTGATGTCAATAACATCAGTAATAGTACTGGTACTAATGATGTTAACATTGGAAAATCTGATCATTTAACCAAATCTCAAACTATAGATCCAAGTACTTCCAATAATCTATGTAATAGAACAATAAATATCAGTCAACAATTCAATACCGATAACAGTCATAATAATAATAATAATAATAATGAGAATACTCGTACTGATGATACTTCATGTAATCCACAAGTATTATTAAATAATTCTAAAATTAATGATACTGATAATATAAGTCAATCTAATTCTTATCCAATACAATCAATAACAAAAAATAATTCAATATTATTATCAAAAGAACAAACTATAAATCAAATAGAATTGAATCCACCTATTTTACCTACACGTACAAGTTCATTAATTATGAATAATAAAAAGTATCATTCTAACAAACAGAATGATACATTACCATCTATGTTAACATCTAATCCTTCATCATTATCTAATCTTAATAATAATAATAATAATGGTAATCATATTATGCAACAAAGTATGATTGATTATAATAGTAATAACAATATTAATAATAATAATAATGATAATAATAATCTACATTATTCTATGAATAATTTAAATCATTTACAACATTTAAATTTACCGCAAATTAATTGTTTATCTAAATATAATAAAATTTCATTAAAACATCCAATTATAAATGATAGAAATTATGAAAATACATCAGAATTAATAAAAATGATAGAATCTGTGAATACAATATCTAATAATGAATTAATGATGAAATCCTATTCACAACAATCATCAACGTTATCTAATCATGAATTTTTATCAGTATTATCAACGACGACGACGACGACAACAACAACAACATCATCCTCACCATCTTCATCAACATGTTCTTCTTCTTTATTACCTGATTGTAATCATAATGATATCATAAATTTAAATCAATCCATTGAAAAATCATCAACCATTACATTAACTAATTCTTCGAATGATAAAAAACAATTAAATTCATTAAATCAATTACAAATTAATTGTAATCAATCATTTTTATCTGATTATATACCGACAAGTCCATCATGTGGTGCATTAGAACAATTTATGCCAACCAATCATGCTTCAAGATTACTTGGTCGTATGTCGGATAAATTACGTGATGGTCGATTAGCTGATGTCATTTTAATTGCTGGTACAAAATCAATATTATCAACTAATACAAAATGTTCAACTATGACCAGTGATTCAGTTCATCCGTTAAATAATAATCATGGTAAATCAGATTTGAATAATTCATCTAATGAATTAATTATTCGAATACCTGCACATCGTGTTATATTAGCAGCAGCTAGTGATTATTTTGCTGCAATGTTTGGTAATGAATTAAAAGAAGCTACTGAACAAGAAATATGGATTCATGATGTTGAACCTAATGCATTGAAAACACTGATCAATTATATTTATACAGGTAAAAATGCTCATTTTCCAATATTATTTTTATAAACTTTCCTATATCAGTAGTTTATTCTATACAGTGAAGTTACTATATTAGGAGAATATATTCTAGGAAAGTTGAAGATAGACCAAAGACTAGAGAATATGATTCTAACAATATATTAGCTGAAAACATTTACCACTCATTGAATGTGATATGACTGTTTTAACAGTTGGGTAGTTTATGTGTTTAGTGATTAACCAAGTGTTTATTTTCTCTTAGAATACATTCAGTGTTTATCTATTAAAATGAAGCAAACTTTGCATGATAGAGTATATATACATATATAGGTTTTGTAGACACTTAGTCATTGTTTATTCTTTACAAATGGGAAAAGTCTCTTCCCGACATTATTTTTTTATTTTGCACATTCAGAATATAATTTATACTTTATAACTGACTTTTCTTTTAATGTATACAATATTCAATAGTTTCTCGTTTATTTACTTCTGGTATTTCATTGTAAATATTAGTCATCATTTTGTCTTAGAAAAGAAGAAGGAATCATAAATCTACCATAAAAGTAAAGAAATCTGAGGTATCTAGAAAATAAATTTTCATACAATAATGGATACTCAATGAAAATTATACCATTTAGAAATTGAAATTACCTTTCTTCTGTCCATCTTTTAATCAGAAGTTTATGCATAAGATTACAAGATAATTAGTTACAATGATGATTAACTGTTATCTAATTTCTATTACAAGAGGCTTGAACAATTTCTGATGAATAATATATTGTGGTGTACTACTGATGTCGATAGATATAAGTAGTATGTATCATCAATCAAAAATGAAATGCCTTGTGGAAGAAAGATAACAACATTGAAGAAAAGAACACGAGAACGGAGAATGATTGGTTTGGAAACGAAAGAACAATGAAGTCTTAGACGATTGATTGACATTTTACAAATGAAGTATTTATCTGTATGGTTCTCAGATTTTACTAAGACGTTCTGTGATTTTGTATTCAAACACAGTCGATTGTCTCCACTTGTGTCCTCGTTCACTGAAATATTTCTACTGAAGAATATACATTCCTTAGCTGTAATACTGTACAATATATGTATGCATGAATTCGAATAAACTAACGACAGTTTCTGTATAACTGTAGCTAGTAGGAAAATATGTTTTAGCCACTACGGTCTGTGTGTGAGAGAGAAGAAACCATTTGTGTGATTTCAACAGTTAAAAAGTAAGTAGCATAGAAATTTATAAAATAGACCTATTGAACTTCGTAGCACGTAATTCTCCGTTGTAATATTTTTTTCAAACTATGATAAAATTTAGACTATCCGTTATACTGTAGTGAGCGAGAACACAAGTGGAGACAACTGAACGTAATTGAACACAAAATTACAGAATCCCTTGGCGAAATCTGCGAACCATATAGTAAATACTTTATTTGCAAAATGTCAATCAATTGCCTCAGGATCGATAGTTCCTTCGGTTCCACACCAATTATTCTCCGTTCTCGTGTTCTTTTCTTCAATTTTGTTATCTTTCTTCCACAATGCATTTTACTTTCGACTGATCATACTTATATCTATCGACATCAATAGCACACACCACAATACTACTTAATTTTCAAGAGTAAACTTAGATATTCATTATGGATAGGGAAGTGAAGTGTTGTGATGAGTGATAAGATTAATGTGATCATGGGGCTTAAAATTGAATATAAACCTTGATAAAGTTTAATAAAATAAAGTCAGATCATTCAAGCAAATAAAGTGATAGTAGTTTATGCATATGTGCTTATATGTCAGTGTAATAAAAATAAAGTTTCTGAAATGAAGACGACACTAAGACTAATATTATCAATACTTCGATACTAGAAACCTTATAAGTGGTGTAATGCTAAGTGTAGATATATTAAGTATCATTAAGTACATTTTGTTTATTTTTGTGATAAAAGGTAGAGAGAGAAAAGTGGAGTTAAGAGACAAGAGATCATATGACAACTTTTTTTATTATCAATGTTATCTACGTGTGTAGAAACCTTATTTTTGTCCAAGTTAGACGACACAATCTGATGATTAAATGTCACTTCCTCATGTTGATTCTTATAGCTTTTCTAAAAACCTGCCCATTTGATAAGTAGTTACCTATTTCTGTAGTAAATTTCGACGCTTAGCTCATTTTATTTCAGAAGATATAGTTGACAGAATAAAGTAGAGTGACACGAAGTTACAAACCGGTCTTACTGATAAATTCTAATATTCAATCATTAAAACTAGGATGAAACCATCTCAATAGAGCTCAGATTACAAGTTGTATGAAACAATTTAAACTAGTATATATATCCACTTAGTATTGTTTGTTTGAATCTTCCCACTGATGTTTAGGACTGCAACTGGTCAGTCTCTATTTGGATTCCACTGCTAGCCACTATCCATCTTTGCTTAGTATATATATATCGTTTAATATATTTGGTTTTCAGATAACCGCTATAATTAAAATACTGACACTGAATTTTAAATGAATATTCATTTATAAAATCAACTCGGACGTAGATTGTTCATTGTTCTCGTAAGAGGCCGTAGCCTTAAGTGCCAACCTAGTTAGAAGTAAAGCATTCATCACTAATGTCACCGGATAGCGAACACGGGATGTTACATACGGATTGAATTTCAATATCTGAACTATTGGATTACGATTCAATGGTTCGATGGTATTGTACCCATGATTGAATATTATTGAGGCGGTCAAAGTTGGGATAAAGCAGTTGTTTGGTGCTCATACATATATTATGACTTCATGATAAACATATTCTTTCAAAATATCCTCCTAGTTCTGTAGAATTTTTATTTTAAACAACTCATTTCTAGCAAATATGTTAAATTTAATCTTTTTTTCTCAACTTATAATTTCTAGGTTATCTAGATTTACGTGAAGAAAATGTTGGTGATTTGTTAGCGGCGGCTTGTTTTCTACAAATTACTGAAGCATCACAGACATGTGAACGATTTTTAACTAAACGTTTAGATGCAACAAATTGTTTAAGTATGTCACGTTTAAGTGAACAATATGGATGTGAATTATTAAGAAAACGTTCTACAAAATTTATTTTAGTAAGTTTTATTTTATTTAGAAATAAATTTTACCCTACTGACAAAACTACTTTTGATAATTTGAACCTAGAAAGAAGAAATCATTTGTGTATTCTGTACGAGATCGACTAGTTGACAATTGATTAATACATAACGTACAGCTGTTCCGCTTTATTTTTGGGCAAATCATTGGTAAATGATTGACTGTTAAACAGAGTCATTGGGCGCATAATAATACTAAAAATTAACCTTTTCATCCTAAATGTATAAACATCTAATTCACAGTGTGGGGATTTGCGGAGATTGCAGTATTTTAACAGTTGAATTGGCAAGTCGATTTAAGCTAGACTATTATTAAAAACCTGGCCTGGTATGGGACTTCTCAGTAGTGCGCGTTCACGATTCCGCATGCGGGACTCAAACCCAGAACTTTCGTTCTCGCTCAAGAACACTCAACCTCTAGACCACTGAGCCGGCGTCCAACGGTAGATAACTGTATCACACCAGACACCGATTGGATTTCACCAGTCACGGGTTCTCGCTAGAACTCCAGGAAATCTAACTTGAAGCTAGTCACTAATAAGCACATGACCTAATTGCCTAATCTTCTAACTTAAAGGGAAGTGGAAGAAATAGTAAATACAAGACACTAAACAACTTTTAGAAAACCCCTGTAAACGCAAACTACTAATAAGTAGATAAATACATTATTCATAATTATCTTCAACTAGATTAATTTATTTTGAAAACATTTAAAACGGTACCAAATATCTTTTCCATGATATTAAGATCAATTTATGGAGATATCCACTTGAAATATAGTCGAAAGTATTGATGAACATCTGGTTATCATATAAACTTTTAAAAGTTCTATGTTGGATCCTTTTTCACTGTATGAATTCTCACCGTTAAGGAGTTTATCCGCTTTTTTTAATAAATACATTATGAGAATTTGCGAATCATCATTTTTAAAACAGTTATCAAAATGTTTTACACTTTTTGAATGTTTCTTTATAATTAAAAACTCTAGGAACACTTTTCAGATGTTGCTCAACAACCAGATTTTCTGAATTTGAATTTTAAAGAACTTGTCACTTTGGTCTCTTCTGATCGTTTAAAAGTATCTAATGAGGCTACAGTATTTGCCGCTTGTTTACGATGGATCAGAAATGCTAAACAGCAAGAATGTAAAACAGAAATTTATAGGAATGAACCATTATTGGCTAACTTACTAAAATGTGTACGATTAACCCAAGTACCTCCACGGCTTTTGATTGGTTAGTTAAAAATACTGATTATTCAGATTTTCATTGCTACACAATTTATTTATTTTGATCAATTCTTTCTTTTTTAAAACGAGATAACAAGTTATTATTAATGAATCAAAATTTTTTATTTAAACTGGAAATAATCATACGTGAAATAACAATCTATTAGCTGATAAAGAAGATAGGTTCGATAATGAAAATCTTTGAAACTTTCACCACAATATATATAAACAATAAGTTAGTTGACTGACCAGTTGTAGTCCTAAACATCAACGGAAAGATACGAACAAACAATACTAAGTGATTTTAAACTTCACCCCATTGCACAAGCAAGTGGTTATCAGGACTCAGTGGCTGAGTGGATAACGCGATGGCGTTTGAAGCGAATGATACTGGGTTCGAGTCTCAGAGTGAACATCAACTCTGAGATGCAGGTACATCCATCTGACGAGTCCCAAATAGGACGAAACGCGAATCCTGGATTCCACTGCTAGCCACTATCCATCTTTGTTTAATATGTTAGTTGGTTGGAGAAAGTCTATTTGAAATTCTGGATTTAGGTTTAAGTTAGTTTTTATTCTTTACCAAGGCGTACTTTCGATCTAAAATGAACTAATAAATCCTGTGTGACTAAAATCTCAGTCACCTAGTATTAAAATTTGAGATATTATCATTGAGCTATTTCGGCTGTGACTAACCTGACATTAAAAAGTGGTTCATGTGATATGGAGTCATTTAGATTTATGACTATATCTCAAATTGATCGTTAGAATTCAATTTCCAGTAACGGATTAAACAATCATGAAATTGGTTGGTTAATCAATATAAATTTTGGCAGTATTCTGATACTTTATAGTAATTTATCGTCTAAAAATTTCGTAGTTTTGTAGTTTTAGACTGAATTAATCGTTGGACTTTTTAAAGATCATGATATGCTAAAAAGAAAAAAAAGAGAAAAATGACGTATAAATATTTGACATAGACTTTATATAGGTGACATATAGCTAAATGTTACATGTTAGTACTTACAATAACTACTATATACTTACCATTACTAATTATAGAACTCGTAATAACCTAACATGAATTGTCTACTTTCCTTTTTTATAGTCTAAAAATTCTCAACTGTGATATATAGTTCTTGTTTACACAAACCTAATAAAGTCGTAAAATATCAACGACGGTATTTCAATAAAAAAAACTGAGGAAATTAATAAACTTTCCTTGAAATATGAAAGTCTCTTTTTAATACACCGGATAATTCAAACATATCTGTTCTTTAGCATTCGTTAATTTTTATATTCTTCAAAATGTTGTTTATTTATAACCAAAAAGCGCATTAAACTAAATATGATATTCCATGTATTTTCAACAAGATTAGATCCTATCAAAAAGAAATTGTTCATACTAATGAAGATAGTTTGTAAATTTCAATTTAGATAACTCATAAGCAGCAGGTATAAATTGTTTTAAAGAAATAAGTTTACACTAAGATTATCAACGACCTTATATATAAATGAGACTTAAATTATAGTAGCAGTCTGTTGTCTCCCGTAGAGAATTATGAATGGTAACTTTGAGGACTATTCATGGACCAATATGATATGTATATTTCCTATTGTTAAGTAATTAAACTATTCACACTCGTGTCCCTCTAATTATAAGCTTTATTTTGACCTATAGACTATTATTATACGATTTACCATTCTTGAGTTATCCTCAGTCTATTGATTACTGTTCCCTCTATTCACAACCACATTTGGCCAAATCTTATATAAACGTTATTTTCTATTTTATGGTACGATGTGGTCTGTTCGATTGGTATATAAACCCAGTATGTTTGAGAATAATGATTTGTATTGCAGAGGCTGTTATTGATGTTCTGGACTTAACCGGCTGGGCTAGGCAGAAATCAGGACTGATAGGTACTCAAGACTACTCATACGGATATTGTGTATCATTAATCCGATCGATAACTTCACGGCTCTCTGATAGGCAGTCTTATAACGTCATAAATATTAACAGGGCATGCACTCAATCGATATAACATAGTCACAATCTACTGAACTAGTAATTATACTATGATATTTTCTTGGAAAAGCTTGAACCAGATTGTCAGGCAAAACGTTGAATTTACTTCAAATTCACTCGCTGAAATTTTACAAATATATTATTCCTATTTAATGTCTAGTAATTATTAATTTAGAATTTGAATATCTTCATGTTACAACTAGGCTCAATTAGGAACTACGACTTATTTCACTAGATTGTATATTCTTCAAAGTAAACTTCGGCTTTCAACTTCTGCTTATATTGATTTGAAAATTTCAACTGTATTATTACAGTTAATAAAATGATTACAGACTGAAAATCAGTATACACTTTACGTGTTATTATTGAATTGGTTTATTCGATAAATACTAGAATCCATTACTAAATTAAATTACCATTTCTATTTTTCATAGTTAAAATCATGAGTCAATTGAAGCTAGACCACCATGGAAAACCTGGAAGCATTAGATGGCCGTTTTGTCCTATTGTGGGATTCCTGAGCAGTGTGCATCCACGATCCCGCCTCGCGAGATTCGAACCCAGGACCTACCGGTCTCGCATCAGAGCGCTTAACCTTTAGACCACTGAGCCGGCATCCATTGGTGTTAATGTCTAACTTCAACTAATCCACGAAGTTGAGCAACCGTCCACCATTGTCTTCATTGAGTTGCTATCTCACTGGTAGCTCCTGAGTTCGGATCTCGCGAAGCAGAATCGTGGATGCACACTGCTGAGGAGTCCCACAATAGGAGGAAACGGCCGTCCAGTGTTTTCAGGTTTTCCATAGTGGTCTAGTTTCAACTGATTCATGATTTCAACTATGAAAAATACTGAAATCTCCGAAAAATCCATTCTAATTATCATTTCTACCATCAATTTTTTATTCAATTCTCAATTAATATGTTTATTCTAATTGTATTTATTTCTATTATTTAGATGTTTTAGAAAAAGAAACACTATTCCAAGAAGATTTCTCAGCGATACGTTTAGTTATATCTGCACTACGTGCACATTTCAATTCTGAATCATTTTATTCACAAATTCATAAAACTCAAACAAGAACTAATTTAGACTGGTGTCTTAAAACTAATACATCAATAAACAATGCAAATGATATCAATAATATGAATAATAATAATTTATTAGATACAAGAACATCATCCATATCATCACATTCATCATTATCCTCATCATCAACCACTAATGATACACAACATAAGTTGGAAGAAACTATCAATATGACTAGTAATGGTATTAATAGTAGTCGAACTCACAATTATAATCGTTATCATCATCATCATACAGACCAACCATATCAATCTCCACAGTTTAGTATTAGAATGCCTGATAATCAAGTTCTAAACTGTCATGAAAATTTTAGTCAGATAACGAAACCAAGATTATCAACAATTGGACGTCTATGGGCTTTAGGAGGAAAAACCATGACAACAACACGTGCATTACAAGAAATACTTGTAAGTTTAATAGTTTGGAAACTAATTTCAACGGTACAATTTCTCTATACAAGTAGATTTGATAAGATATTATAATATTATATTTTGTATGTCAGATGCCTATGATTAATTAGTCAACTACAGTGAAGTCTATAAAACAAGAATAATAACTATTCAACATCGTCTAAGCTATTTCGTTGGCCCATTAGTCGTAAATATGAGCTGACAAGCTAAGTGAATAATAATTATAAAAGTAAACTATAACTCTGAAATACAGCCTTTTAATAAGCTTCAAACTTGCAAGTGGGATAACCAAAATTACACACTCCATATTTTATATTACAAAATAGATTGAAGACTAGCTCTGTTCATGTATCCTTCATGTTACTTTGACACTGTTTCTTAATAATATTTAAGCTGAATTGCTCTGTAATATTATATCATTAGTTAACTGGTTTTCATATGGTCAGTTATAAAATGTTAGATTAGTTTTCGAGAGGCTGACTATTTTGTCGGTTTTTTTGGTGAGACTATGGTTTATGGAAGACCTTTGAGCAACGCTACAATGACCTTCAGCATATCCACCTACTAACTGGTACTAAATGAGGGTTATAAAAGAGTGTGAGGAATTAGAATTAAGATTAACGGTTGATGGTTAGGATTAGGAATTAGATTTTGGGCTTTCATCACGAACTGATATCAGTTATAATTCCAAAATGCTATTTGGCCAAATGGATGAATGAATTTCGAGCCAGAATTCAAAACTAGTTATCCTATATTTTATTGGTTCGTCCATAAATTATAGTCTCACCGTTTTCTTAATGATTGTAAATACACTACAAAGGATAGTCATTAACTCATACTTCTGGTTTAAATCTAAAAAAGACAGTTTAAATGTCTTGGTGATTGAGACTGATATCATGAATACATAGAATCGGTTCTCTTTATGAATTTGGATAAAGCCGGAACAACGACTAAAGTAAAATGTCAAGAAAAGATACATGTAATCTACTCTAAAATATACTTTTTGCAAGTCCTTACAGTTTTGCCTCACTTGTGATGGAAGTAAAAAACTTCAGGCTCTTTACACAATTCTATAATCGCTAGCCAATCTATACCGATGAAATAATTCCGTTTTTTTCTTAGCAGTCAAGTATTTTATTATGATAGTAACATCCATAAATAATGGGATTAGTAGCACTATGTTACATTCAAGTCACAGTTAAATCTGTCAACCGATAATACAGTTGACAGTAGTGATAATACTGATTGATTATCACTTCCCCTAAGAGAAATTACGTGTTTACTTCTCAGAAAACATGAAAAGATATTAACCTAGAGAGTATAAAGTCATGACTTTCATCTTCTATAAAATCTGTTAGTAGTGAAGATCATCAACGATGATAATCTCTGTCGAATGATTGGGGGCCTACTCGAGTTAAATGGGAATGGTGTGAAGAACCAGCTCACTTCGGAGTCACTCCTAGCTGTCAGCACTTAACGTAGATCATCTCTTCGGCGCAACAAAGTACTATGCCTGCTTTGAAGACCGGATAACACAAAAGAGTTTATTATGGAAATATATTAGTAAGAATGAGTAAAGAGTAGATAGTGAGACCACCACCTCGTGGGCCAGTCCATGGCATAGGATTAACTGATACGCATTGGTTGATCTTGACCTTGAGGGGGATCGATGAACTATTCGATATACAGTGACCTAATTGCCGGATGACTTGGCTAGGGCTCAGTGACATTTCACTGGCCCTACAGTAGTATTTGAACGGTGATTATTGCGACATAAAGGAAGTAAGTAAAAGGTAATAGAAATATAAAGTTCAAATACAAAGTGTAATTTTAATATTGAGATCAATCTGTGAAAAAAGGTTTAAGGATAGAAACGTAGTTGTGATAATGGTCAACCAAAGGCATATTGTTTTGTCAACCCCAATGGTATAGATTAACCTAAAAATGTAGTTCAGAAAGTATTTAACAAATATATGGAGAAAAAAATAGACCATTATTTAAGATAAATCAATAAATGGTTTTTTTCGACCATAAAAATTAATTCTTCATTCTCTTTTACAAACAAATGCAAGGAATATGATCCATATTGGAATACTTGGCGTACAATTGGTCAATTACCAGGTCAAAGACAACAATGTGGTTGTACTGTTCTAATAGATGGACGATTATTAGTTGTCGGAGGTCGTGATGAATTGAAAACCTTGAGCACTGTTGAATGTATTAATGTCGAAGAAATATCTCAATCGAATGAATGTACAACAGATTGTGGGAGGAAAGTTAATAATAAATTATCATCGGAAACTTTGTCAAGACCTAGAGCAATAAGAAATCGTTCAAGACAAAATAGTACAGATCGCAATGAAACTGATTTTAATAATACTAATCAACTAGAATTATGTATTGAATCGGCTAGTACTACTCTTAATTCGACAGGAATAGTAACGTACAGATCAGAACAACAAGGACAATCTAATTCACAAAACTGTACATCATCGATTAATAAAGAAGTACAAAATAAAGAAGAACAAGGTAGTTGGAAAATTGTTTCAGCAATGGCAACACATCGGTATGTGTAGATAATGAATACTTTTGGTTAAAATAAGAACTAAATGATAATTAGTTAAGATACATATTATAGAATTTGTTTTTATGTCAGATTATTTCATGAGATATCAGCTGTTTCATGCATAAGACTTTCAAAAGTGTATCGCCGTAAGTAGTATATGAATAATCATTAGTAAGACTAACGAATCGTAATTATTCTCACCTTAAATTTATAATTATTTAGTTACACAAGAGTTTTAAATGGAATGGCTTTTCTACATAAAAACTCTTAATCGATATTAATATTCCCATTTTATAACCCAATGGAGTGATGTCTAATTGTCTATAAATAATGATCTGTCTCTTGTCTTTACTTTTAACATGAATTCACGGAGAAATAAAAGTATCAGTTGACTGTCTAACAAACTGTTGTGAAAACTTTATATTAAAAAATTTGCGGTACACCAAACCTATGTCCTTCAAAATACTCCTCTTTATGGCAATTCACTTATCTTGCCTCCGTTTCTACAGTTCAAGACATCCTTGGATGTCCACATAAGCCATTCTTTTCATCTTCCTCGTCATTTTCCTTTTTGTCGCTCAATCCATGTTCTGTGACTACACCTCACTGTTGTGGACGTAAGGAAATAGTTTGGTTTTTCGCAGATTATTGTCAGGTGTCAGTCATCCACCAGAATAATACGAATTCGGTCGATAAGTAAATGAACTTTGGTCGCCAGCGTTAAAGTACTATCTGATTAGTCATTTAATCAGTTATCTCTATAACTAACGATATCGGTAGCCCAGTTTGTATGTTTACCAAACCGACTACATATATATCCGAAGTGTTTTTAATAATGATAGAGCATTTTCACTGAGTTTAGTAAATCCATTTGACACATCTTCATAAACAACATATGATTCACTTCTGAAATTGTCCAGTGTGGTTTTTCCTCAGAAGCTAGTATTCACCAAATCCTAAATAATGAAAAATTTTGAATGGCTCTAAACTTATGATAAGTAGATTTGAATTAACTTCATTTATGCAACTTATAGTAGGCTTAAGATGTTTTGTAATTGGTTATGAATCACTTGATAATGTTATTCAGGTGTTTACATTGCGCTTTGATATCCAGTTTGAAGACTGTTTTCTTTACAAACCGACATGAGTTTAAGAACCATTCAGAATAAAGAAGCATTGGACAGCTATTTCATTTAAGACTGGGTTTTTTTCAAGGCCTATATATATATATATATATATATATATATATATATAGAGAGAGAGAGAGAGAGAGAGAGGACTTAAGGGTAATATATGTATACATACAACAAATAATTACTTTCTTATGGGCAACATTTAGAACCATAAGCAAAGATGGATAGTGAACAGCAGTGAAATCCAGGACACGCGTCTCTTCTTATTACGGACTCGTCAGCTGGATGTACCTACATTTCAGAGTTGATGTTCACTCTGATACTCCAACCCAGCATCATTCGCTTCAAACGCCATCGCCTTATCCACTCAGCTAGAACGAAACGCGCGTTCTGGATTCCACTGCTACCCACTATCCATTTCTGCTCATAATGCTTGTGAATTATTGCTATATCGAGGCAATACGCACAGTACGCATATATGTCAATAAGAGACTGATCAATTGCAGTCCTAAACATCAATGGGAAGATTCAAACAAATAATACGAAGTGAATTTAACATTTAGAACTGTTCACATAAATATGTGATCCTAATTACGAAAAGAATTTGAAAAAAAAGCGTTTACCAAAAAGCTTAGTTTATATTTTTAAAATATAAATAATTATTCTCCCACTGTTGTCTTTCTTATGTAGGAAAATTTAAAAAACTTTTCTTTTCTCTTATTTTAGCTTTCCCACTATCGAACCCCATATTTTTAAACTCTTATACCTTCATAAAAGAAATAGTAACTTTAATAAAGTACATATCTGTCAAAATAAGTTTTGTTAATAAAAAGAAATTTAAAATAAAGTAGAGGAGAAAAGTGACTCTTTCAAAATTCAATTAACGCCTTGAGCCGTTCGCGTCATTTCTTAACAGAATATAGGTTTGTGGAGACTGTTTATTTTCAAGATATTCTTCATTACAGATTGAAATCAGATAGCGAAATGTTGATTATCCCAAAATAAGTGTTTGAATCTTCCCTTTGTTGATGTTAAGAACTGTAGTTGGTCAGTCTCTTTTGTCATATGTACATCTTGAGCAAATCTCCTCGATAGTTCTGTCAGGTTATAATGATTTTTAAGAAAACCTTTGGTACTCGCTATCAGTGAAATCCAAGACATGCATCTAGTCCTTCTTGGAGCTCGTCAAATGGATTTACTATTTTTGTTTTAGCTTGAAAGACCGGAGTAGTATGCTGACGAAACCATACAGGTTGTAGAACTATAAACTTTTAAACTCATTAATCTAAAGATTTTATATTTCTTGTGATACCTAAGGGTCTTGAATTCAACTTCAAGTAAAGTTGTGGATATACAATACTTTATAGTTTTAATCCAAAAGGAGACTCGTAATAAATTTTTTGTAATACTCACATATTCTCTAAATAATTTTAGCTTATTGTGAAAACAGATACTGTCTAGCCTTAAGTCTTGTTTTTTGTTAGTATTATAACTTAAGGTATAATAATTTGGTTCATAACTATTTACTAATCTTCAGTTGATCGACTTGTAATGGTAATCTAGTACTGAATAAGCCACCTGTTAAGGTACAAGTCAATGAATAATATATAAGTCCAAATACATATAAACAGTTAATTGAATCTTATTATAAAATACGGGAAAGCAATTCACTTTAATGATCTCTCTTTTTCATTACATATTCAAATAATATAAATTAATTACATAAAGTACATGAATAATAAATTATGGTTAGGATAAAAAATAGCTTAATTACTTACTGACTTCTGTTACTCCTCGTGGAGGAGCATAGGACACACACCAGCACTCTCTATCTAACCCTGTCCTGGGCAATCCTTTCCAGTTTTTTCCAGTTAGTGTTCATCTTTTTCATGTCCGCTTCCGAATCCCGATATAGCGTGTTCTTCGGCTTTCCTCTTTTCTACTTCCCTTCAGGATTTCAAGTTAGGGCATGCTTCGTGATGCAGTTTGTTGATTTCCGTTATGTATGTCTTATCCACTTCCGACGCCTTTTCCTAATTTCCTCTTCAGCTGGGAGCTGGTTTGTCCTCTCCCACAAAAGGCTGTTGCTGATGGTATCCGGCCAACGGACATTGAGTATCTTTCGTAGAACCCAAATAAGTATTCATTATTGACTGTATTAAAATCTTATAATAACAAAATAACTCGCCTCAACCATGCAAACATACTTTGAACTTTTAATAAATAGTTTACAACTGATTAGATCAGATATGATTGCTCATCATTCTCACTTTATTTTTTGAATCATAGGCATGGTCTAGGAGTAGCCGTTTTGGAAGGTGTTGTCTATGCAGTTGGCGGACATGATGGATGGTCTTATTTAAATACTGTAGAACGATGGAATGGTAAAGCTAAAGCCTGGTCACCTGTTACTCCAATGGCTGTTCAACGTAGCACAGTTGGCGTTGCTGTTTTAGAAGGACTGTAAGTGATTTAGTTATTAAATTATAAAATAAATGACAAACGATTATTTAAACATTTATTTGCCAAAATGTGCAAGTTTGAATGACTATTTTTATGTCACAGCTGTAGCGTCAATATAATTTACAGGGAGCAATAATCTACTTCATCTCATTCCACAAGCCAGTGACCATCTAGACTCCATACTTAAGTGTATAACGCTATGGCGTTTGAATCGAATGGTACTGGGTTCAAGTCCTAGAGTGGATATTAACTCTGGGATTCAAGTACATTCAGTTGGTTTGCTTTTCTAACTTCAATCAATTCTCAGTATTAAACATCTATCTTTTAATGTCATTTGTAGATAACTGTCTTGCGCTCAACATGTTTGAATTCCATTGATCATGATTTCTCATTAGAACTCCGTAAGCTCCTTTTCATTAGGTTAGCTCGTTATTTTAGCTATCCAATCCAACATGCCTGTTGCACTAATAATAATTATCTGCTCACTAGTAGTTGATTTTTGAGGGGTAGTCCCTGGAGTTCTAGTTAGCAAAAGAAAATTACCTTATTCTCAGCTCATAACTTTTATTCTTCTCAGTTTTCCAATAAGAACTCACTTAAACGAAATGAAAAGCTTACTATTCTATGTCAATAATATTCGATCTGTCGATAAAATGCAATAATAATTTCTCAAACCATAATGTTATAACTGAGAGATTATTATGTAATTTTTTCCCTTACTTTGGTATTTTTCTTCATCACATATCACATTAAATAACTAGTCGAAGTCCAAAAGTACTGAACAATTGTTTGATGTTAAGCTGTGAAACTAGAACTTTTTGACTTTCATGAGGGAAGCATTGATCAGCAAATTATCGAACTAACTATAATGACTTAGGTAAGCAAAGGTGGATAGTGGCTAGCAGTGGAATCCAGGACGCGCGTTTCGTCCTATCTGGGACTCGTCAGCTGGATTTACCTGCATCTCAGATTTGATGTTCACTCTGTCACTCGAACGCTGTATCGTTCGCTTCAAACACTATCGCGTTATTCACTCGGCTACTGAGTCCTGATAACCACTTGCTTGTGCAATGGGGTGAAGTTTAAATTTACTTAATATTGTTTGTTTTAATCTTCCCATTTATGTTTCAGGACTGCAACTGGTCAGTCGCTAATTGACATATGTGCATACTGTGCGTATTGCCTCGATTTAGCCTAAATTCACAAGCATGGTAAGCAAAGATGGTTAGTGCCAATTAGAGACCGACCAGTTGCAGTCCTAAAAGATCAATAGAAAGATTTAAACAAACAATACTAAGTGAATTTATGATGAGTTAATATTTTAACCGTGAAATAACTCACAATATAGAATGTTTTTTTATATTTTGTATGCTACTATTATCCAACCCTTTGTTAATTATAATAGTAGTGACCTTATGCTAATTCTTTTCCCTTCATTACCTATAATTTTAGGCAACCAACTTCAAGTTATTAACAACATACTAGATGATATTACAAAACAGATAAAATTAATCCATTAGGTCAGTAGTGATAGTAAATGTCTATTTGCAAAATGATAACATTTCTTTAATGGATTGTATGATATTAGTTTAATGTTCTATTTTAGCTTTCATGTAACAACATAGACATTGGAAAAAAAAGTTTTACAACCAATTAATCTTTACTTTTATCTTTATTCCTTTAAATCATTGCACATGTCTGTCTATGAATAAATATAGCATTTCTCTCTTCAATAAAATATAATGTAATCTTATTAGTCTACTTTGTTCATTTAATTTGTGAACGATAGTTTACCATGGTTAGGTTTCATGAATGTTTATCTGTCTGTTGAATTATTACATATGTTATGTTTCATAGTAAGTCAGTCGATCATCTTTTTTCTTTGAAAAAAAGCACTGATTTCCTCCTTAATGTAGAACACAACTACCTATTATTTATAGATAATAATGATAAACTGTATAACTGACTAGAAACAAGTAGAACTAACTACTTATACAACAAAAAACTTTGATATTTGACTAAATCATTTCTTAGCCCCCAAATGCCCTGATACGGTCGAGAGTGGGGAGAGTCCGCTATCCCTCTCGAAATGCTCTCACATGGTCACGCATATATAACCTGTGCCAGGGATGTCCTACTCACTGCCTTCTTGTGGCCGGGGGTGTTGTCTACGAAATTGAGAGGACGAAAAGCGAATGCTAGGCGCTTTAACCGGGTTGGTGGACACGGAAAGTTCACCTAGGGGAGTTGGAAAACCCTGATTCAAAACCAATGGTTCACACGGACTCCAGGATCCTGAAGGAACAAATAACGTGTAAATCAATCGTTGTTCACTAGCTACCATAGGACTACATCTCCTCACGATGCTCTACTGCCTTATGGATCAGACCTTTAGGTCAAAGGCTCCGGTTGTGGCCCCCTAAGAAAACCACCTGCTTCAGTCTGGGCACCTGGGCAGTATCATATCCCTCATACAAATCAAATGAGATTTGCACGATGCATATATATCTGGTGCCCCTTTGTACCAATATTTATGTGTTTACATAAATAAATAAATAACCTCTACTTTGTAACGTCATTCAATGACTATTGATGTAATACTAGACAAACGAATTGATGTCATTCATAATTTTATTACAGCTTAATAGATTGAACTGCTCAACTCCTCATGGTACACAAATTATATACATACAAACCTAGTTATAATTGAAATAATGCGGAAATCATTAATTCTTCGATTAATTAGCTACAAACAAATGATTGTAAATTGTTTATAGTTGACTTATTGTTTGTTTGTAAGTAGATCATCATCTCTCTATGTATCCTGATCAAATTAAGCCTTGATATAAAAAAGTGAAATAAGAAAAAAAATACTTCCTATATGTTAATATATTAGTTCGATGATCTACGGAGCGATTTATTGTTATGGCCGGATTTATTGTATTGAGTGTATTACAGAACTGGTTTTTAATCTAACCGTTTTGTGTTTAGACAGATATTTTGTGAAAATTATTCATACAGGTTATTTTTCATCACTGAATAAACTTAGCGGACGAATCAGAGAAATCCAAGAACAACTGGTGCATTGTTTTGTCCTAGTTTATATTGCCAACTTTATTGTTGTTCAACTTGTTGGTTGACAAACAGCAGTGATTTTTAACCTGGTAACTGGCCTAGTTGTCGAGCCTATAGAAAGTTCAGGGATAAACAAATAGTTAGAGAGCATTTACAGTCGATACCATAGTAAGCTACTTATATGAGTATTTGTGTTTGTCATGTATATATGTGTTCAAATAGATATCAAAAGTAGAGGCGGCTTAATCTGGAAGCCTTTTTTAGAATTCCATTGACCATTTAGCAAACAAATTTACGTTTTACGTTGATCGACTCAAAATATCTGAGGATGCATTTCGCTTAGTGGTTTATTTTGACTAATCAGTTCTAGTATTATAACATTTTGTAACATAGGCATTCAAAAAAGACATCTAAGTGCAAAGTATTTTGTTTATCTTAATAGTGCAATGTCATAAAACATATTCTTACTTTTCATTTATTCGATATACATAATCATTCAATTAGTAAAAGCCTTCAATAGCTATTTTAATTGATTATCTGTTATTTGTAATACAATAAAGTACCTATGGCTTATAAAAAAGTGGATGTCTGTTCTAAAATTTAAATACCATTGATTTCAATCAAGAAACAAATGTCTTTAATTGGAATTAGTAAAGCTTTCTTCACTATTTTTTAGGTGATGTATAAGTGGCCATAGAATTAATTTTATTTCTACTAATCCATAGGTTGTATGCTGTTGGTGGTCGGGATGGAAGTGCTTGTTTACGAACAGTGGAGAGATTTAATCCTCATACACAACATTGGTGTTTTATTGCCCCCATGTTACATCGTCGTGGTGGAGTTGGAGTAGGCGCTATTGGTGGACGTTTGTATGCAGTTGGTGGTCATAATGCTCCACCAAATCAGCCTCATGCATTAAGAACAGCTAGTGTTGAAATGTATGAACCACGCACTGATATGTGGACGGAAGTGTGTGCTTTGTCATCTCCTAGAGATTCTATTGCCGTGGCTCCGCTCGGTTATAAACTATATGCTTTAGGAGGACATGATGGGCAAGCTTATACTGATCGTGTAGAAGTATATGATCCAGAAGAAAATAAATGGACTGAAGTAAGTTATCTTCTGAAAAGTGTTTATATTACTACTATATTGGACTCGAAAACAAAGTTGAAAGACACATCAGTTACAATCACACTCATTGACGAGCAAGTTAATTCTTAGGTTTACAAACTTAAATGATAAAAAAATTGTATGCTTTCTCTATCCATTGTTGTCACTGTAGAACATCAAGTTGAACCAAGAGTTATCCCTTAGAAAAGTCACTACTATAAGATTACAATTGATTCCTAGACAATTTTTTAATGGTGTCTTTTTAGATTAAAATCATTTCAATGTTTTGTAGATTTTTATTATCGCTAAAACATTAGAATCTTCAGTTCAATTTCAAATATGTAAATATATTTACAAGATGCATTAGGCTATTGTAGATGATCTTTATTACTTCCCAATGGTCAATGATTTTTATACTTGTATTCACCTATGATGTGAATCGCCTTTAAACATACGATAAGACTGGACATATTGAGAAATACGACTATAGACTATGATCAACTGTTGAAATAATTATCGATGGCTTATGTAATTAATTCACAATAAGATTATTATATAAATTGCTGGATTTCAAGTCTCACCATCATCTCTGCCCGATAAAACGGAATATATCAGCTAATCAAAATAGTATCTAAAATGTATCAGAAGTTATGTGTTTCCTTCCAAAAATAGAAAAACAGTAGTTTCGAATAAGATGATCCAATAAAAAAAGTTATTTTAATTTATTAGTATTGGACATGTGTAGAGATTATCGAATAAAATAGTTTACATCACAAACTGAATTTAGTTAGGTAATCGTTGAAAACTGAGTAACACAGGATAGCTGTTTTATCCTAGCATGTATGTCCACAACCCTATGAAGGTTCAAACTCAGGACTTGAGGCTTAGCAGTCAGAGTCTAATTCCTAGACCATTGATTTAGTATTTAGTATTCGACATTTCTAGTTTCAATCAATTTACATTATTACACGATCACCTTCCAATTTCTTTGGCTAGTAACTGCCTCACACGCAACATAGCCTAACTTCACTAGTCACGGCGGTGATAAACCTTTGAAGTTCTTCTCAGCGGTCTAACCGTTAGACCCTCACTGTGAGACTTGGAACCCTTGAGTTTGGCCTCAAAAGGTTAGTGGGTGTATATAACTTCAAATCCCCACACTAAAACAAAACAGCTGTCCAGCGATTCTTAGTTTTTGATGGTTGTCCAAAGTGAGTTCATGATTTAAATTATCTTCTTTTAGATGGTTAATTGTATGAATCAGTTTTTAAATCTACCCAACACATTACATTTATCGTATTTAAATCAACTTTCCACGTATATTTCCTCTAATTTGTTCAGTTACATCAATATAAACTTTTCGTTTATCAGATTCTAATGAGATCTATTAGGTTTTATTCTAGTTTTTATTTTCAATTTAAGAAGTTTTAGCATAAAATTTATCAAAGAACTTTGATCTGGACACTGTATGATGCGAATGATATTTTCATTTAAGCCAGTTTATATAATTAATGTTTATTGTTGATTATTATCTAGTATATTAGTTAAAACTATTTACCACCCTGAATACAAATTACTTACTTACTTACTTACGCCTGTTACTCCCAATGGAGCATAGGCCGCCGACCAGCTTTCTCCAACCCACTCTGTCCTGGGCCTTCTTTTCTAATTCTATCCAGTTCTTGTTCATTCTTCTCATGTCTGTCTCTATTTCTCGGCGTAATGTGTTCTTTGATCTTCCTCTTCTCCTTTGACCTTCAGGATTCCATGTGAGGGCTTGTCTTGTGACGCAATTAGCTGATTTCCTCAAAGTGTGCCCCATCCACTTCCAGCGCTTCCTCCTGATTTCTTCCTCCGCTGGAACCTGATTTGTTGTCTCCCACAGTAACTGGTTGCTGATAGTGTCTGGCCATCGGATCCGAAGTATTTTGCGTAGACAACTGTTAATAAACACTTGTATCTTCTGGATAATGACTTTCGTAGTTCTCCACGTCTCCGCCCCATACAATAGAACTGTCTTGACATTTGTATTGAAAATTCTAACCTTGGTGTTGGTTGACAATTGTTTTGAGCTCCGCCTGTAGCTCCTCTGGGGGTTGCTGCCGGTCCCAAGTCCGGGTAAAGGAGTAGGGTTGGGCATGGGGTTAGCGACCCCATCCCGTAGAAAATCAACTCGCTAAAAAACGCTAACCAGAAAAAATCATTCAAACCATTTAAACTCTGGATACAAATACCTCAGTAATAAAATATTTAAATTTAACGCCGTATAATGCTTGATAGCAACTCAAATAAAGTTTCATGTTACTAAACGACCCATGAATATTTTCTTAATTATTTTCAAACAATTATGAAGATAATATATAAATAATTCACAGAAAATTGCCTTAGGGGAATTAACTACACCGAATATTTGATTAAGTCAGCCATTTCGATTGACAGGTCTTCTAATTATTGTTCTAGTCCAGTTATACTCCACCTGTAAACATAATGTAAGATAAATAGTGAGACAAATTCTTTATTAGAGTCATAACTTACCGTTTAAATAATGGAAATTTTATCTCCAGAGTGAAAGATATGAGCACATTTCTAATTCAGATTAAATTACTAGATGGAGTTGATTACTTTTAGTGAAAGCATAAATCAACATAAACGAAGACTGTGCATATCAATACAGAAGTATACGATCAGAATGTCTCATTATAAAAAAATATTTGCTAACTTTAAAAGTAAAGGTCATCTAAGTAATTAACATTTGTGATTCTATGATTAAAAAAATTGATCGGAGAAATAAACTTCACATCTGATTGTTTATATAAATGTAATAGCATTCTATGTATCTTAGATACAATAAGGTATAAGACTGACCGACTAACAAATACTTTCTTACTATTCCATACATACAATTCATATGAAACTCCACAAACTATTTGTGTATCGAACTTTATTAACTTGATCTTACCTTAAAAGGAACCATAAATTTGAAAAGAACAGCTCTCATGTATACGTTTGCTTATAACAACAATATTTGTCTGTTTGAATTAATACTTAGTGTTTGTTTTATTATTTTGCTGCTAACAATGATCCTAATCATCTATTATTATCTTTATGTTTCTGTTTTAACCGCTTTTTTTTCAGGCAGCTCCATTACCAAGTGGAAGAGCAGGAATCGCTGTAGCAGCTAGCGGACCAGGTGTCACTGATGCTAATTTCAGTATAAAATTATCCTATCATAAAGTAGATCCACTTATTTAATTGAATGTGATCACATCACACGAAACCAAAGAACACAGCTTGGTTGAAAAAAACATTTTTTTAGTGCATTATTTAAAATGTCTGTATATTGTAATCATTCGTTTTCATTTAATTTAATTTAACATAATATCGTTATTGAATGTATTTTAAATTGCTACGAGGACCGTCTTATCAACTTCCGAAAAAATGCCTATAACATTCTGGAATAAACATATTATGAAGTACTTTGATCTTTTTCAGAAAATAATTTTGGGATAGATGCCTAATTAACAGATTAGACTGCAGACAAAAAGAGGTATAGATTAACAAAGTGCTATAAGAGTCTCTGCTAATAGGTCACTTCATAAAGTTTGCAAATAGAATTCATTTTTGAATAGATTGATCAAAGTAAGCCTATACAGTTTGTTACGATTGACCATAGTTATTTATGCTTTAAATATCACTAACAAGATTGAAATGATCTGAAAACAAAATAACTTTTATTTGATTGAGGTGAAAACGATGCGATTTAGGGGGGTAAGACGTTTCTGTGATTGGTTCACGAAGTTTGCGAGCCCCAAACATATTTTTTCAACAACACGTTTTTACGGAGTGGAATACCATTCTAATACTTTGTTGTATTTTATTTTACCACAAAACCTGCCGTATTTAGTTTCGTGGTAATTTTCTAATACCCTTTACAACATCACTTAATCTAAGGCTCCTGGAAAAAATTAAAATACCCAAGGTTTATGATTATTTTACTACAAGTTCATTGCCGTTTAGGCGAAAGAATTATTTCGTCGACGGTAGTGTGTACTACTAATACTGAATTTTAAAAAAACAGCTTTCGACCGAACATTTCGTATTGACTTGAATCCACAGTCATTATTGCTTGCTTAAATCATTTGTGCTATTTTAATTCACAATGTATACAGACTATATACTCCGATGTTTTATTAAAAATATCTCTATTACTTTGTAAACAGTTTCTTTCAGCAACCATTATCACAAAAAGAACTATTAAAAACCAGAGGAACACCGAACAGTCGTTTTCGAAGATTTTAGGACACTCCACTTGAGACTTGTTTATACCTAATCTTATATAGTATGAGATTAATGATCTTGTAATTTAATCAGAAATAACCACATTAGTTCTAGGTAAATAGTTTACAATCGACCAGTTTATATATTCATTTTCGGTTAATCTTAATGATAAATTTTGTGAACCCTAATATATAATCTATTTAATAAAACTGACCATTGACATCTAACGTGTTATCTGTCCTCTTGTGTGAATATATTAACTTCGTTGTTAAATATAACTGGATAATCTTGTTTGAGTACTTAAAATTATGACTTTTTGTTGTATTAAAGGCTCACTGGAGAGATCGCTTTGTATCGGTGTTGATGTTTTCACCTTTGTATGCAATAAATATCAAACTTTTATGAGTTCTAACGTTAGTTTATTTATGATGTGATGTTTAGTGATTTGGTATTAATAAAGGCGATTCATAATTAAATTACCGGACTATATCAACTCTCCTACAATTAGCTTCGATTATGGTTAATTTTTGTCAAGCCTCTTTATTAACTTATTTAAGAGACAATGTTATTTGGACACTGACAATTCATCTATTTCTTTGCATCGTTGTGATCACTATCATGTCTGTATAAACGTGTACGCTCAATCACATGTGACAGCCTACGTACATATCTCTCTAGCTTAAATATCGATAGCTTAAACATTGCTCGATGCGTCCTTCTCTTTACCGTGTATATATGTGCTCGAATCCTATTAATAGCCTTTGCCTGGCCTAGCTGCGTCTTGATTCCATGTGACTACAAACTCACCTCTGTATTCGTTCACCTACATACATTCACCTCTTTGCTCCGATTCTCTCGATGTGTTCGTTACTTTATTATCTGTGCTGTCCAATAATAAACTGTAGTCGCCGCATCTTATTGCCTTCTGAATTCAAACACCCTTGGGATTTATATAATAACGGTAACCAAGGTGATTGATTAATGAAGCTAAACCACTACAGGTCTACCTTACTAATAAATTATTTACGCTAAGAGATTAAAACTAAAGACAAATACATTTAGTTTTTGAATTTCCTCACCATTGTCACCATTAATATATTATGATAAATAATCAGAGGTGTTTTTTTAAAGAAAACTGAACAGTTTGAAATAATCTATGATTGTCCGAGACATTTTTAATGTTGTTCTGTAGCTATGCATCAATCAAATCCACATAATCTAAAAAGCAATAAATCGAACAATATGTACTGTGAACTAGAAACATCTGGGTTCGGATCTCACGAGGCGAGATCGTGGATGCTCACTGCTGAGGAGTCTCACAATAGGACAGAACGACTGTCCAGTGCTACCACGTTTTCCATGGTGGTCTAGCTTTAATTTATTCATGAATTCAACTATAAAATTACTAAAATCTCCACAAAAACCCCTTTTGAAAATAAATTAGTTTTAAAATAGTTAGACTAATAAATTTTGTTAATTCTCTTTAGTTTTATACAAACGACTTGAAAAATCTTGTGAATTAGTAAATTAGTCAGTAGTTGGTACAGATTTTTTTCTCTTGAAGCAAATCAGAATGTATTTAGGCGTTTATTAAGTCAACTATAAAAATCAATTTTTACATAGTAATAAATCAGTTTTGGCTACAGTTTAAATCAAGAATGAATATTACGTAATGTACCTTTTTGTACGTAAGTTTAATTTTAATAGTTGAATTCATAAGTCGATGTAAGTTAGATCACCATTGAAAACTTGGAAGCACTGGACGGCTGTTTCGTCCCAGCATAGAACTCCAAAGCAGTGCATGTTCACGATCCCGAACGCGAGACTCGGACATACGTTTCACATGATATAAAGATATTATTTATTATTGATAGTTGATAAATATTATTGCGATTAGTCTTTTAATAGTTGATTCATATACTCAATTTAAGACTGAACAGAAACATACATAATTTAAATCACTTGTTGTGAGAAACTTTCCTCCAATTAAAAATCATATTTAAATTAAAAACTCAGTGTTTTCATGTTTACTTTGTGTAGTGTACTCAGAGCGCTTTGTCATTCTGTTACTGTTTATTGGAGTGCAGTTTTTATTGAGGATTACATTCACAGCTGCAATGTTCAACATGTGCTTTTCATCCAACATATCAGGCTGTGCTACACCGGAAATGTCCAATAACAGACAATTGTTGATTATAATAGTTGAATTCATGAGTCGATGTAAAATAGACCATCACTGAAAACCTGTAAGCACTGGACGACTGTTTCGTCTAAATACGGGACTCTTCAGCAGTGCACATCCACGATCCTGCATACGGGACTCAGACCCAGGACCATTGGTGTCTCACTTGGACGCTTAACCTTTGGACCACTGAACGGGCATCCTATGGTGGTCATGTCTATTTCGAATCAATCCATGATCTTTTGCAACCATTCGCCCATTGTCTGAGGTGAATACCTGTCTCTACTCTACACGGACTAAACTCCTCTGGTCACAGCTTCTCACTAGAACTCCAGGGAGATCCGTCTTGAAACCAGTCACTGGTGAGCACATGATGATTGTTATTAGAATGGTGGTTTGTAGAGATTGTAGTGATTTTAAGTGTTGAATTCATGAGTAGGTGTAAGCTTGAACACCATTGACATTTATCTACCCCAGATAATGGATGAATGGTTGCGCAAAACCATAGGTCGATTGAAGTTAGACATTAACACCGTTAGATTCTGGCGAGGTGGTCTAGTGGTTAAGCGTCCCAGTGTGGCACCGATGATCCTGGATACAAGTCCCGCATGCGAGATCGTGGATGTGCACTGTTGAGGAGCCCCATACTGGTACGAAACTGCGGTCCACTGTTTCCAGGTTTCCAATGGTGATCTAGCCTACATCAACTCATGAATTCAATTAATAAAATCACTACAATCTCTACAAAACACCATTTTAATTATAATTGTAGATTACTCCAAATGAAAATGCAAATAACTAAGTTCAATTCTTTCTAAAGTTTAATTTTAGTAATTTAATACTGAATTATGATCATTTTTGGTAAATATTTGTAATACAGTCAAAATTTTCATTCATTCACTAATACCTGCTAGGTACCATCATCTATTTATGTCAGATTCTCATTAGTGTAATAATATGATAGACTTGATCTAATCTTACTACACTATCGAAATCTATCAAAATTATTAATTAGTTCAAATTTTTTGAAAATAATTGAAAATGCATAGTGACATTTAACGCTAGAAACTAAAATATTTTAGGGAAATATCATTTGTATGCTATTTCATTTTAGTTAGTTTAAATATACGTGACATTAAAAGACAAAAAAAGTATCATCACATATTCAACAAGTTTGTTTTTAATCAGAAGGGGTTTTGTGGAGATTCCAGTATTTTCATAGTTGAAATCATGAGTTAATTAAATCTAGACCATCAAGGAAAATCTGGAGGCACTACTGAGAAGTCCCATAATAGGACGAAACGGCCGTCCAGTGCTTCCAGGTTTTCCATGGTGGTCTAGCTTCAATTGACTAATGATCTTAACTATACTTACTTACTTACTTACTTTCGCCTGTTACTCCCAATGGAGCATAGGCCGCCGACCAGCTTTCTCCAACCCACTCTGTCCTGGGCCTTCTTTTCTAGTTCTTTCCAGTTCTTGTTCATTCTTCTCATGTCTGTCTCTATTTCTCGGCGTAATGTGTTCTTTGGTCTTCCTCTTCTCCTTTGACCTTCAGGATTCCATGTGAGGGCTTGTCTTGTGACACAATTGGGTGATTTCCTCAAAGTGTGCCCAATCCACTTCCAGCGCTTCCTCCTGATTTCTTCCTCCGCTGGAATCTGGTTTGTTGTCTCCCACAGTAACTTGTTGCTGATAGTGTCTGGCCATCGGATCCGAAGTATCTTGCGTAGACAGCTGTTAATAAACACTTGTATCTTCTGGATAATGACTTTCGTAGTTCTCCACGTCTCTGCCCCATACAGAAGAACTGTCTTGACATTTGTATTGAAAATTCTAACCTTGGTGTTGGTTGACAATTGTTTTGAGCTCCATATGTTCTTCAGTTGTAAATATGCTGCTCTTGCTTTGCCGATCCGCGCCCTCACATCTGCATCTGATCCACCGTGTTCATCAATGATGCTGCCCAGATATGTAAAGGTTTCCACATCCTCCAAAGCTTCTCCGTCAAGTGTA